GAGCTACTTCAACCCCCAATGGGACCCGTTGCGCATTACATATCCAAAGCAATGCGTGTACTTGTTTATTTTTCATCTTTTATTCGTTTGTTCCCTTTTAGTTTATATTTATTCTTCATCTTACGCCAAGTTCTCAGCTATCCTTTAAATACTGCTATCTATACCGCTGAACATCGGTCGCTAATCCTGTTCCAGAGACTCTGATGGCGCATTCGACTCTACCAAACTCTCCTGCGCCCGCTAAAACAGACTGAATACTGAGATTAGAGAGACAGAAGATATAAAGCTGTGTTGCTCCATCGTAGTTAGATCGGGCACATGCGCGGAATTACCTCGCCGATCCTGCGCGGTGGCAGCATATTACAGTTGCACTACATCTTATCCAGTTACGCTACGCTCCCTATACCTGTAATCTACAAACTAGAAGCAGAGCTGCGAGCACCTTGGAAGCAACACAGATGAGACTAATCCCTTTGTGGTTGACGTAGTCAGTCCGGATACCCTTTTTGAAGACGGACGCGATATCGGCTAGGATCCAATCAGATGGGATAACTTCAGTGACCTAGATCCCTGGGAGGAGAGAAGTTAACTCCTTAACAAGCGATAGGCTGCCATCTTTGAAGAGAGCCGGAAGAAGTTCATCTGGGCCAGGAGCTTTGTAACGCTTTAAGAGGCTAAGCTCGTGGGCAACCACAGCCTCGGATGGTGGTGAAGCGTCTACACACCAGTGAGCGCTCTGGCCTCCAGCTTAGGAACTCATTGCTGCTGCTGGCCAGTTAAACTGCTGTTCGAAATGTTCGGCCCAACGCTCGAGTCGGCGTTTTTGCCAGTGGATTGGCTCGCCATTGGTTTCGCATAAAACTTTGCTTACGGTCGATCTTTTGCCGCCAGTAGTTTGGAGCAGGAAGAAAAGCTTACGGAAATTCTCCGAGGTGGCCGCTTGCTCCATCTCAATGACCCGCTGCGTCCACTAGGCCTCGCGATCTTCCCGGAGAAGCTGTTTGAGCTCAGCGTTTGTAGTCTTGCATAGTGTATGGTATTTAACGCTGGCAAGAATTGCTCGACGGGCTTCGAGAAGTTGAAGGGATCACGCAAAGATCCAGTGGTTGGCAGGACTACTTGTGAAGCCACAGATCAGGCTTGCAGAGTTGTACATGGTGCCGCGGATGTGTCCAGTGTGTTTCAATGTCTGTGCACGAGGCAGTCTTCAGTCGTGAGGCCAAGACATCCTGAAATGCGCGGAGAACGTTTGCGGCAGAAACCTTAGCTACGTCAAGCCGTTTCTGGCGACGCTGCTGGGAGCCACTAAAATGTAGCGCAACCTTGGTACACACCAGCGCGTGATCCGAAGTGAGATGGGTACTCCAGATTGATTTGCAATCCTGTATGCTACCCCGCCAGCGATAGCTAATAGCGATGTAGTCAATTTCTATCCACGACTAGTCAGGTGATGGAGGTCTCCAGGTGGCGCGTTGACGCCACGATCCCCGAAAGCTAGTGCTCGGCAGAAAGAGGCCGTGACCGGCGCAAAGCTGAAGTAGTCGATCACCGTTGTCAGTTCTGCGAGTGCCATGGCTGTTGACCACCCAGTTCACGTTCGTCAACTTCAAGTCTACCGACCTGCGCATTCAAGTCCCCGGCAAGCACCACGATGTCGGTACGGCGCTTTTTACGGAAGGTCGGCCAGTTTACCATAGAACTTATCTTTAACTGACTCCGAACTACAATCTGTGGGAGCGTACACTGTGACAATGAATAGACAGCGTCTGCTAGTTTCGCACCTGAACAGTCGCACTGAAGTTTCAAGTCGGATCGCGCATAGTCGACTGTTAACAAGGATCCAGTCTAGTAGCGCGGCCTCAGCACGTGTGCTCAACGCAATCCCCACGCCAGCATAACCAGCGGCTTCGGCGCTTCAGTCTCCACATGGGCACAAAGTGAAAATGCCAGTTGAATTTGCAGACGGTGAAACTAGTTGCTGTGCCGTGCCGTAGTCCTGTAAATGGGTCTCGCTAATATAGCAGACATCAATGGCCGTAGTTTCTAGAGTGCGAGCAAGAGCTTCCTGTGATCCAATCTGCATCAGCGTCCGAACATTGAAGGTTTCCAGCTTGTATTTGGAACAGGGCTCTAAAAATGGCTTGTCAACACGACTTGGCGCATCTTCGGACCTAGGCTGCTGATCCGCCTAGTGAGAACGTTCGCCCAAGGCGGCACGATGTTTTGAACTCGAAAACGGAGGGGGAAGACCAAGAATGGGCGGTTGAACAAACGTGGAATAAAGTGACTAAACCGTGGTGCGGTAAAAGGTGGTTTGGCAAGTTCCGCCACCAGCACTTCGTCCGATGAGAACAGTTCGTAAGAGTGAGAGCAGATAGAGCGAGAGCGAAGAATTGCTGAGACATGGATCCATGGGTTGTGTGGGCATATTACTTCCCGGTTGCCCAGGCCGAGGAAGTGGGTTGACTTAGGGGACCCCACCCGCTGCCTTGGGTCGTACAGACTTAACCCGCAAGGCAGCGAGACGATTGACGTATACCGCGAATGTTGGTAGCCGGCTCACTTGGTGAACGGCTTTCGAGTAGAGACAAATTACTCTGGGCGCCCATAGAGCCCCAGTGAAGCAGCAAGGACTACCGAGCTCGCCGCGAAGCACGAAGGCCGTTGACAGACGGGTGGCTCATACGCCTTCATGAAAGGTTGTTCATCCGCTCTCTATCAAGTACTCACTTCCGGGACCAGAAGTGAGTGGTCAGTGACCCTATAGCCGGTCACATTGGCTTTGACACAGCGTCTTGCGAACTGTTGTGGTATTTGATGGAGAACCAGGTGACCAGCCCAGTACCCCCCCACGCTCTAGGACGCTGCCGCTGATTATCCGCGACACCTTATTCATCTCACCTGCGAACAGCCGAGACTTATTCACAGTTACCTTCACAAGGAAGGCGTTCCCCGATCCGCAACCTGGGGACGCGCCCGATGGCGTACAGCTCCGCCGAACCAACCAGTGGTCAGTTCACTTCAGCTGTTTATAACTGTGGCTTCAACATGGTGTGGTGCCTTGATACTGTGCATCTGATTGGGACGCTTAAATTTTGCATCTGGTCCCACTTATCAGCCCTTAGTACTGTTCATCTTTATTAAAACCGCTGTTGATGTATGGTAGCATAGCATCACTATTAGTACTGATTTACTGCCGTTGTCGCTTTTGTCGTAGATTTTCGCAGGCAGCTATTACTGCACCATCTTTGCCTAATAGTTTTGCTCCCAACTGCTGCTCCATAAAACATCAACCTGACGTATATGAATGCATCCTTGGCGGAACTGTACGCTATCGGGCGCGTCCCCAGGTTGCGGATCGGGGAATGCCTTCCTTGTTGAGGTAACTGCGAATAAGTCTCATTTGCCTTGCAGGTGAGATGAATAAACAGTCGCGGATAATCAGCGGCAGCGTCTCAGAGCTTGGGGAGTTCTGTGCTGGTCACCTGCTTCTCCATCAAATACCACAAGAGCTCATACGACGCTGTGTCAAAGCCAGTGTGACCGGCTATAGGGTCACTGACCACTCACTTCTGGTCACGGAAGTGAGCACTTAACGGAGGACGGATGAACAAACTTGTTGGTCATCGGCTTCTCTGTGGACTGCTACTGAACACAAAGAAGGCCAATAAGCTACCGGGATGTCAACGGTCTCCGTTAATCGTCCCACTGCCTTGCGGGTCAGGTCTTTAAGATAAAAGGTTCGGTGTGGAGTCCCTTAACCCTCTTCCTCGGCCTGGGGAACCAGGAAAATCTCTGCCCGCACAACACATTAACCTTGTAAACCTTCCGAACCTTCCCATTGTCTACCAGTTTTCCTCTTGTAGTAGTAGTAGTAGTAGTAGTAGTAGTAGTAGTTGTTGTTGTTGTTGTTGTTAACTGTGTTGTGACACTGCCAATTGTATATCGGCCAGGTGTTGAATAATGTAATATATAATATGAATGCATGGTGCATCTAGCATAACGGTAGACCGTAGGCTGTACACCTGGTGGCAGTTCAGTTCAGTTTTAAGTTGATCAACTATGCTCCGAGCACCGAAGTGCGGTGGATCCAGTTGCCATAACTCACACCGTGAGAATAACAAATAACACCGGTAGGATAGGGGTGTTGGGTGCAAATAGACTGTACGGAAAACGAAAGCAAAAATGAACTGCGTTAAACTATTCAGAATGCAGCGAAAGTTAACGGCCTGATGAAAGTAGCCGAATACAGGAACACCACTGACTTCGTGACTACGCTATGTCTGACACGGTTTCCAACCATTGGTGTGGACCATCCCGATGCCCTCATCCACAAAGATCGCACCAGCCTGACCAAGTCTTGCAGTCAGTTTCTTCAAACTTCTATACCCCGTCATGGACTGACCACCTCGAGGTTTTGACCAGCTTGGAGCACCCACCGCGTATAAACCACGCCGAGGAAGCCGGCCAATGAACATACGGAGAACGGCCTAACCAGCGCAAGCAACCAAGTTTTATCAAACACGAGAAAGGCACTATAAGGCTTTTTGCCAAAAACCAACTGGCGGACCTCAGCATTGCTCATCCGGTGTTCCCACCAAACGTGAGCAATACTTCGCAAACTCTGGTGGTCAACATGACCAAACGTTTAATGCCTTCACCGCGGACTGGCCAGGTCTCCAATACATACAGTAACGTTGACCTTATCGCAGCGTCACACATCCTACCTTTCACTGACAAACTGATATCCCGCTGTCTCCATAGGTGGTTGAGCCTCTGAAAAGCCACACGGGCCTTGCTAATACGCGAAGTAACCTTTATCATGATGTAACCGCCAGAGATGACACAGGTGGCGATTGTACCTTATACTTTTAGCTATTTTCGTTTTTGTTTTAACAGATGATGTAGGTTATAACTGGTAAGCTTCGTTTTGAGCCTTCTAATATGCATGCTACTTTGTTTTGCCAAACGATAAATGATTCCTACATTTTGTATTTCTAGCGAACTGAAATGTCTGTCACAGCTTCACAGTATGCTCAATTCATACTAGAGAAGCATTTCGGGCCTTCAGCTACAATCGTCACACGTTTAATGCGGATCAAGGGTCCCGTGATTCTGCTAGAAATCCTAAGAGATTGTTCTTTTCTCGGAGTTCCTATTGTCGCACGGTAAGAGCTCTACTTCTATCTAGGTACCTTACAGTTGCCTTCGGTCAATGTTACGACATATGGCGGTCATCATTAAGGAACAGAATATTATCAGATACGAGTTGAATTATCCATGCATTTTTTCCATTCCAAGGTAAGTAAACTTCCATGTTTTGATTCTTTCCGCCAGATACCCATATTTTTGTCAACTTGTTTTGCATTTCTATGGGCCGATTGCGGAGGAAATTATATCGCTCAGTTTCATCCTGGGCCGCACCACTGTTTTTGACTTGTTCAAACACTGCATCTCTAGGCATTCTTCCTCAAATAGTATGTTGTTCTTTGCCTGTTGTAACTTGAAGGTGAAATGGAACACCACAAATACGTCGATTTGCTATGTGCCAGCTTCGATACGCTCATGCGAACTGGTGTTGCCCTAGTGTCAAAGCCAGGATCTTCAACTACCACGGAAAATAACAGAGCGGATACTGGCACCGTTTTGTCAGGTGTCTGTGAGTGGCCGTTCTCCAAAGAGGCTTTCTCTGGTAAATTAAAACTCATCTCCCCTCACCCATCCACATATGATCAACTTTCTGCTTATTTTTGTGTTGTTTTCCTTCTTCCCTTCGCTTATTTCTTTTTGGGAGCTGTGATCATCGTGAATGTTCATAGAATATCTATTACGCATTGCAACTATGTATACCCTTAAAGTATCTCACTTCGCTCACTAGGTAAATGACTCCTGCGTCCCCTGGGCCGCTCTCGAAACAACGGGTTCTCTGTGGGGAATAATGCTTCCATCTGTATACCTTGATACTTTTTATTTGACTGATAATCGACTGATCATCTCTCAATAATGCGCAAGTGGTGCGACTGCGGTACCACTCTTTACATTCCAAACCTCATCTATTTTCTTCTCTTTCAAAAGCGCTTGTAGCTAAAATTTGAGTTATACCTCATTTTTTGAAAGTTTTATGATTGAGCAGCGCTAAAATCACACTGGGCTTCTTCAATTCCATAACCCATTTTAGGATGGAGTATCACCGGGCAGTCAATCGACCCTTTGCCAGCAACATCTGACTAGCACAACTCACAATGACACGAGCTTGCTGCTGCTACGTAGGAGGATTGCGACTTTCGTTACAGCAAAGTATGACCCGGAGGTCATTTGCTATTTTCGAAAATTGTTTCAACCAGCCACTGCGACGTATCCGACTAGGACGAAAAATCCATGCAGCCGATGACTTGCAACTTGTTTTTCTCATTAGCGTCTGAACCATGAACTGTCTGTTACGAACCCATTCCATCTGGTGCTTTGCGACAAATCCCACTTCATCTTGAGAAGTGGCTGTGGTGCTTATTAGTATGTGTGATGGTAGTATCAGATCAGAGTGAGCCAGACAGCCAATGGGCGTGACTGTTTCGGTCACTGGACTCGGATTTACCGATATTCATGTGAGTGATTCACTGTTTGTTTAACTGAAGCAAAGGAGGAATCTCATCGACTCAGAAGGGTTGTTAGTTATGCACTTGAACGTGCAATTTATATCGAGGAGTTTGGTTTGCCAAACATGCTGTACTTTTCGCGGAATTGACTTTGCTGAATAAACGTTTATCACTAAAGGACTGAGTTCTGCAACATGGTGTCAGAGAAGACCAAGGCGAACCCCACCGGCGGCGCTCCGATGATGTTTGGATCACCAGCGTCTATTCAGATGCCTGCCCCATTGAAAATGGATGAACGGAACTTGGCGGGTAATTGAGTTCTGCAACAGTATGTGTCCTCGGGTTTGCCTAAAGGGATAAATACATCAACATATCACATGTTCCGTATGCGCCTCAAGGCACCTGGTCCAGCTCAGCCACTATGAACGTGTTTGGAGGTTGAGGCTACCTCGATCTAATCCGCTCGCTATGTGCTTCCCCTTTTCACTTATTGCAAATGCCTCATCTTTCTGTTACTCCAGCAATGCCATCCAGTCTTGTGATGATATGCCATATGACTCAGTGAGCCCACTGAACAGCCAATCATCTGGTTTTCTGCCTCCTGCAGCAAAGGTTCCTGCGCAGTCCATGACAGTCAATACTTAACTTTTAGAACGTAGTTAAAAGATGGATTTGGATTGGTTTTCAACTGACTTTTATCACAGTTACACTATCAGACAACCACTCAACTTCCGAAAGAGTACCAAACGATTACTTTCCGGTGACCGAGTGGTCTACACACCTGGCTCGCAATCATAAGGTCACCGGTTTGAATCCGCGTAGGTGTGGGCGTCATCGTGGTATACTTAGCCCACGCGCAACTGGTGGTTGTCACGCGGCAGCGAAACGACGTTATGGCGTACAGCTGACACATTATTTTTACTTCGTTCGTTTTTCAATTTCACATGTGATATCGTGAAAATATGTGTGACTCACTGTCATCTGCGGCTCACAAATATGAGATGTCGTTGTCAGTAGGTACTTGTTATCGGTATCAGACAGTGGATAAATGTCAATCCAATAATGTTTATTTCCACTGTGCTCCAGTAGACTTCCAACCATTGGTCATTCGCTGTTCAAAGCACAAGGGTAGTTAAATCGTTTTATATCATGGACCAGAAACTTATATCGGTGGGCGCGTGGGCCACAGGGTGTTTGCGAGGGGAACAGCGGCCTTAGCCCGGGGAAGTCAACAAGATGTAGTATGCAGCAGGTCATGATGAAATCGACTCGCATCCGAGTATAGAATGAATGAAATGAAATGAAATGAAATGTGTCAGCTTATACGCCGTAACGGTGCTTCGCTGCCGCGCGACCACCACCAGTCGCGCGCGGGCTGAGTATACCGCGAGGACGCCCACCCCTACGCGGATCGAGTATAGAACAGTAGAACCTTAGTCTCTTACACTAATCTTTGTACGGTAAACCTCATAAACTGGGGATGAGCGCGGTAGCAACGTATCGGACCCGTTAGATCTTCTGCGCCTCGCCTTTGGTGACCTTATCCTATCAGTCGCAACCTCTTCAGACCAAGTCTAGAAGCTGCGTTTAAGCGCCCAAAGAAAACGCAAACCGTTTCGATGTAACCTATTCAGGTTGTCTACAGGCTTTCATTCGTAGCGGCCGAGCTCGCCAGGGTCCCTCACGGACGGTGTGAGATATAGGGGTTAGGCATCGAGGATGTAGATTCGGTCCGCACCACCCTTCCCATTGCTCATGAATACCTGCTCCACTGGGTTGGCTGGGGTTCAAACCTCTGCAGACCATACGGAGAGACGGTTGTAGTCTTGCTGGAATAGGCCTCAGTCGTCAAGAACATAAATTACTCTCCAAATCACCTTGTCATCCGCAAACAGAGCACACGGCGACCGGCGAAACTGTGGTAGATCGTTGATGTGCATTAGAAACAGAGCGGTCTTCAGTACCAAAACAGCTGTAGCAAACTCTTCTTCTCGGCAATCTTGACCTAGATAAATGTTAAACAAATCTGTTTTTAATTCCAGACCTACTTCGTCGCAGTCACTCTCCAGTCAAGCAGGCTCCCACACGTATGGAAGAGCATCAGACAGCTGTTTTGACCTTTTGGGTCGCCTCAGTGGTGTTCGTTCCTCGGATCATCGCAACCAGACTGGACCTTGGCGTTGTGCGATGGTTTGCATACCCCAGTGACCTATTGAGCTATGCTGGGTGGCACTTTTCAAGTGCCTTCTGAGCCACCCATGCCAGACAGGTTAATGGTTAGGGTCTGACTAGCTCAGTCTCACAATCCAATCCTCCTCGATGGTTAGGGAAAGGTCGATGGGCCTCTTCCTTTAAAACCTAGTCATAAGAGACAGCAGGTCTACGGGTTATAAACTCACAGCTCCATCTGCGTAGAGCACGATCGCCAGGCATTGTTTCTGACGGTGGGAGTGCACGGTGCTCATTTGTTTGCTACCACCCGCCTCATGCCAGGCAACCCCTGGTCAAATTGGTGCAAACCCTTCAACTCATACCTGCGGCTGGCCATGGTCATAGTTGCGTAACATCATACGGTCGCAAAACACGTGTGCATTGTTCTGAATCTTCAAGCGTTCTATGTGGCATCATCATGATACAGGTTAGCTAGAGGTGGGAAACACCTCAGCTGCTCTACTGCAATACATAAAAGAAGAAAAAGGGAAACATGCAACAAATGCAAGCCCGCTGAGCTACCGGTAACGGATGGGCATCGTTTTGGTATGCTACCAGCCGGATACTATACAGCAAAATTATTTACTATACAAGCTTATGTAAGGCTAAGTAGTGAGATTGTGGTTGGAGGGGAGGCTAAGAGGGATGGGGTGGGACAAAGAAACTCACAATACGAACGCCACTGAGGTCGGCTCCTAGCCATATCAGCAAGTGTATCCAGCCAAACGTCTTCATCTTCTTTCGGACCCCAACCAGGGACTTGAGACGCTCCAACCGAGGTTAGCTTCGAAGTGAGGACCTTCATTGCTCTCGACCAAGTCATCGTTTCGCCACCTCTCCTCTTCTTCCATCCACACCCCCGGCGAGCAACCAACGTTCGTCGCGGGAGTCATTTGACTGGCATGCGTACCACGTGGCCGAGCCGTCGAGGCCTGGTGCGTGTGTGTGTGTGGCAAGCCCCATGCAATTTCCAATGGGTCTCTGCAGTCCCACTCCCTAGCTGGACTTTCTCCACACTGCGAACACAACGAGACTCACAATGACCTCACGGCAAAACTCCCTGCTAGCTTGAAGAGAGACCGCGAATCCTGGTGGTCTCATCATGCATTGGGAATGGAAACAACCGCTGCCATTGGTAATCATCGTAATTTATTCCGTCTGATACCGGAAACCGGCAGCAGGAGACTCTGTATTAGTGAGACTATGAGCGAGATTGGACAGCCTAACCACAACTTGTCAAATCGCTTGGAGCGTTGAGCTGAGCAATTTATTTGGCTGGGATTGTTAGATTTGTCACCGGCCAGTGATCGCCCTGCTTCCTTGGCTGTCCCTTTGGATCCGCCCTCGCTCAGGAATGGAACGTGAGATCGGACTGTTGAAATTGAAACGCCGTGGGACCAGATGATCTTCTTCCAGCCCTCTTCAAACTCGAGAGACCTGCTCTTGTGGATGATTTACACGAATTACGAATACAGTACAGTAGATTTCCGGGTACGCAGTATACAGATTAGGTGCAGATGATCTGGTAAGAAAAATGTGAGCTGTAGTATATTCTAAACCTTGTTCAATGATTTCCACTCACGGAACCCTATATCAGCAGCTCATAAGTCATAAAAGTTGCTATACTCTGACTGTAAGTACGGAACTCAGTCGATGTCACTGGCGAGCGATGATTTTCTATGACTACAAATGGTTTTTAAAGCGGCGCCAGAGTCTTGAGCGATTGTGTGCTGCGTTTGGTGGTGATGCGCCTTCAAGAACCAACATGTTTGAGTGGTTTGCGGAATTTAAGCGTGGTAGGCGATCCCTGAATGATAAGGCACGGTGTTGTCGACCTGTGGAAGCCCCCACTGCTTACAACATTGCTGATGTGCAAGCGATGTTGGACAGAGACGCGTGGGCGACTGTGGTACACCTGGGGAAAGGCATCGGGATCAATCTGCATCACCCTACATGAGAACCTAGGTCTCAGAAAGGTTTGCGCACGCTGGGTATCCCATCAGCTCAGTGAGGACCAGAAAACAGCTCGGATGAATTGGTGCTGCACCATACTTGCTAAGTTCTGTGGTGGGGGTTCCAATGCTGGTTGGGAGATTCTTAGTGGTGATGAGACCCGGATATACAGTTTCGACTCGGAGAACAAGCAATAATCGGCTCATTGGACGGCCGTTGGTGGGACGCCGCCTCATAAATTCCGGCGGGAGCGCAGTCTGGCCAAGCAGATGATGGCTGTATTCGTGGCCAAGACCGGTCATGTGGGTGCCGTAACGCTAGTACGGCAACGCAGTTACCGGAGACTGGTATACCACCTTTTGTCTGCCACAAGTGCTAGAATCTCTTGCTAAGCGCTCGAGCACGAGGGACTGCTACACCATGACAACGCATCTGCACATAGATCCCATCTCCTTGTATATTTTCGCAGCCGGATGGGATCGGGTGAGTTAAGAAATCGAGTTGCCTGGGCAATCGCAAGGCATTTGCTGAGCACCGAGTTAACCACGATGAGTCATTCATCTTCCTTAAGCACAGTCTGCGGCCCCAAATTCTCAGGCTATTGAAAGCCATCACCATTGATCGAGAGCGGCTGCTGCTTTGTGTGCAGAAACAGCTGACAGTGGAACTTGATCTACCGTGGTAGTGTGAGGCGTGACGTTTTGCTAACTGTTGATTGCGTTATATATATATACATATATATATATATATATATGTATATATATATATATATATATATATATAATTTATGCTTTATTTGTGATTGAGGAGCTTGCACGAAATGACTGAGCCACTTCACATTCAACGTCTTCACATTTTTCTGTTTGTCTTAATATTGCTGTTATGGCCATACGCATCCTGTTAACCGTCCATAATGTTTTGACATGGACCACGGAGTGAAAGTGTACTAAACCATTGGTCTTGATTGTGTTGATGGCTTTTCGTCGACTAGTTTATGCTCAAAGCACTTCCGAACTCACTGCTACAATATTGGCTTTTTTTACTATTCTCGGATTCAAAGTCGATTTTTTTTCACTGGACGACAATCCATACTCATGCCTACTTTGCGTGATCAAATGTGGGGTACTGCAAACACTTGCACTTACCTGTGAGCTCACGATATGCAAACAAAACTGGTTAAGCTGGAATAGACTCACCGTTGACAAATCCTAATAGAATGAAACGGCAGTCCGACGCTTTCTGTTATTCGTTTTCGGACTATTGGGCTTCCGGGCTGCAGTAATGAATTAACAACCACGCTCATCGTAAACATAGCTGTCGACCAGGTTATCTTTCTGCCATTCCCAGAGGCTCGAATAGCGCGTACGCGGCATCTGACTTTTCCTGAAATCCCACCTATGCATCGTCACTACCTACCCCTGCGAAACTTTACCCGATGCGTTCGTCACTTCTATCTTTTTGTTAATCGCGTTAACAACACCGATTGTTTGTGGTGGCCGGTACCCGCAGAGATTTTCAGCGAATGTTTGGAGAACACAACGGTCCTCGAAATACAGTCCTTTTACCGCACCGTCCGGACTGCAGTGACTACCCATTTCTTGTGCACCACAGTTCTCCCATTCTGCATCTCTTTCATCTTGATTGAGCGAACTTAGGATAGCCTAACCGTCTGGGATTCAAGCTCAGAGAGCTAGCGGAATCGACCGGGCAGTCACGCTTATGTGGAACCATAGAACTTCGGCTCACTTAAGATGTTGCGCACTGATTAATACGACAAGATCGAAATAATTGTAGGTAACCCCATCATTCCATCAGTAAGCTCGTTGAGAAGTGTTTACTGATATCAGCTAAATGCGGATGAATGTTAAATGGACGTGAACATTCATCATTTTATGCCAGGTACTTGGTTTTCTGATCCATACGTAGAGGCAAAATTTGCCATTGTAATCGATGCGCTATGGGGAACACTTCGCTCTATGTCTATGTGCGTTAGCTGTTTCCAACAAGACTCGTTCCTCTCACTTGCATCCTCTGGTTAGCACTTTGCTCATCGCTTGGCTGCCTTTATATTTTGCTTGATGCATTTTTCCATGCTCTTTTCTCGTGATTCGAATCCTCCAACTGTGGCAGTTGTATTTTACCTCATATGCTCTTTTACTCAGAGGAGGTGCACAGACTCGTTTCCGTTGGCTTCGAAAATATATCGAAAAATGCTGGCGATGACGCACCCGAGTCGAAACGACGCCGAGTTTCGGCAGATCTAGATGTAAGCCGAAGTGGTTATTTCCATTGATTGAGCTCGTTTTCTGATGTAGGTCCTTTTATTCTCACATTAAAGTGTGTAATGTTAACTACGATTTTAACAAGTACGAAGCATGTTGACGAAGGTAGTTGTTTCATAGTTTGAATGTGAAGTTAAGTGTAATTTTCATAGCAATTGTTTGTTCTACCTTCATTTGTCAAGAATTGCTGTTGGGAATGCTTCGTTGGAACACCGATTTAACTTTGCCTTGCGCATAAAAATATTTAGCACCGATGCGCTTTTCATCTGTACCTCCATTGACATCTTGTGTGTCAGTTGTCAGATGTTCCACGAATTGCATTCTTAATTCGATCAAGTCATCATCTCGTAGCATTTACTTGAGCCATGGTGGCTTGACGATGTTCAGCTATCGCTCGCCAACTGCTAACGACCACCCATACTTGGTGGGAGGGATTTTACTTCCTCCACTACCTTTGGACTCTGGTTTACTAAAATTTCATGTGCCATATTATCTTGTTTATTCATGTTTTTGGCCTCTGTATGTGTCTGAGACTGCTTCACGATGGGAAATATCTTCTCTGGGAATCATAAATTAATCTTTCAGTCTTTTTCAGTTGTTTCTTTAGCGCACTCAATTTCTCCCTAGATGTCTCCACTAACCACCAAAACGTGCTTTGCTTTCAGCCTTCTACCAAGGCTCCTTGGAACATGGCGATTATGCCCCATCTTCCTACTTTGGAAGCTATGTGGCGAGATCGTCTCATTTTCAACCTTGCTGAAGATCGTCTCGGAACGGTGCGTGAATTTCCGTTTTTCTCTGTTGCTACTGTTTCACTTTTTTACATTTCATTTTTAACCGCTAGTGTTTGTCTTGTCGCGATGAGGCTGCGCCTTAATGTGGTGCAACGGTTTGCGTACTATGTCGATCTACTGAGTTATGGTGGGTGGTACCTTCGGACCCATGAGAGTCACTGCTACCATATAGGTCAATGGTTAGAGATATGAACTCAGTTTCCTGGTTTTCCAAGTTGAGTGTTTGGAATGGGATAACTTCCATTGCTGCCACATCCGCTGCTTCGTGGACAGGTTTTTGCGTCAAAGCGTTTAGTCTAGATTTCGATGCCCTATCACTATCTCTGCCCACGTACAGCCATGAATAGATGAATTTACCATCAACTTCGAGCCACATACTGCATCTGCCTTCGCACAGTTTCACAGTATCGCCTTATCGGTTGCATACGGCATGGCGGATAGGCAAAATCACGCTACTGCTGATGTTTTCTTTTTTTCCATCTGTTTCCCTAACTCCCCCTATGTACCCCAAATTCTAACCTTCGTCATACACTCCACAGTTGCAGTACTGTTGGAGTTCTGCCATCCGCAACTACATTTCAGCTGCACTTTCTGAGCTACTCTCATACACATCCCTTTATGATACAAATTTGTTCTCTTTCCAGGGTGGTGTTCAGCGTTCAGATCTTAAGACGCAATGGTCAGCAGGCTGCATTTGCGCACACATTGGACACACTCAGTGTCCATGTGTGCTGCGTTTCGGCAACTATCATCAGCGACCCTCACTCTGTTATCGTACTAATTGCGCCCGGTCTGTCGTCTCGCTGTTGGTCACACGCACCTGGGGGCAGTGCTGCAGCAGCCGCAGGTTAAGCTGTGGTGTATATCTTTCTTAGCTCCATGACTGAGTCATTGTTGACTGATTACGCTCCTAGCACCAACCGTTTTCTTGCAGCTGGTCTCAACCATGTAACGCCATACGCTGTCTGTGTTATGACTGCAATTGTCCCCACTAACTGCTGACCTGAACCTACAAACGACGTCTTTTGCCACCAACTCAGTGCGTTTCTTCGCAATGTTGTTAGGTCGGACGTCGTTCTAGTTAGGTATATTAATGCGCAGACAGATCGTCTGAGTTCCACAGAAACAAAGCTAGATGGTATATATGGACACAACCTGGAACGCTGACCACCGTCTGTCTCTTATCAAAACGGCCTTCAAGTTCAGTGGGCGCACCAATCTGCCACTTAATTTTTACCGATCATTGGCCAACCATGGACTCATAGGCCACTTCGGCATAAGTTTAAGTTATAAGGGTCCGATGCTAGACTGCCACTCACGTGCGTCGACTCGGTTCATGCTTTAGTATGCTGTCGTGTTTCCATAATATTACCCGTTCCTCTCTGCTGGTCCGTTGCCTTAAGCATCACAAGCCTACCTTGTAATCTGAGGGCGTGGGTTCCATCCTGCTTAGGGGCCAGACGACCGTCGCATTATCCTTAGCCCACTTGCGACCGGTGGTGGTTGCGCGGTAAGGAAGCATCGATACTGTGTTCCAGCGTACTGCTGATGCCTTTCTTTTCTTTTTTTTTCGTTTCTACTGGCGACTGAGAAGTTATCTTAGTCATGCAAAACTACCAGAATGCCTTGCATACCAAGTTTTCATCCAGCTACTCAAATGTCTTCCGAATTCAGTGAAACAGCATCTCGGCCTCCATACACGATGCTGGAGCCTCTGCTTGCAGCGCTATCAGTGATCAGCGCATCATACACTGGATATTCGAGAGGTTTCTGAACCTGTTGAATTCCAGCAGCAAGCTACTTACTATGGGCGAAAACGGACGAAGCGGGCTATTAGATGTGAATTTAAGATGCTTCGGCGTACTGAGAATGAGGCCTGGTGGTCCAAAAGGACTGAAGAAAATGAGAGGGGGGAATGCTGGTCACATATCATAGACTCTTCCAGCTGTTCCACACCACTTGTCCCAATCAAGATCCAAATTGGTTCACTCATTTACAATGAGGAACGCCGTCTAGGTTGTTGATTGGAGCACTTTTTGGAGCACTTCAGTTGGCCCCGTGCTCTTCGGTCTCTTGCTGCTCAGGTGGTGCAGGCTGAACCATGACTCGTTAGTTTAGTGGCTCCATCTGAGGGTATGGTCCGAAGCATAGACAGAGCCCTCAGTCGTTCTCGAGCTTTTCGTCCGAATTCCTTTGAGCTCGCGTTAATTAAACGTAGAGGTGTGGGTCCTCTGCGAAGCACTGCCCCACCTGTTTATCTAGGTATGGAAAGCAAAGTCCGTTTTAACCAACTGGAGTGAGTCACTTATAGTGGCGGCATGTAAACAGCGCAGCCACATCTGCTGCGCTAACCAGAGAGGTGTCAGTCTGATATCGGTAATGACAAAGCTAGTGACCTCATGTCCTCTCTGTCGACCTACTGCAAGGCGGGAATCCAGTATTCACTTTGCAACAGGCACTAGAACATAATCAAACATACTGCAAACCGACGATATTTGTTATCCTCGGTGTCAAGCTTGTGTTGGACTCGGTCGATAATTTTACATACTTGCTCGGATTAGTGGTTCCATAAAATACGTGAACATTTGCTCAACTAGCACAGGTTCCAAGGCGACTTGTCAGCCGCCTTTTCGACACTAATTGGCCTTCGCCATGGTCGTCCCCTTTTCTCTTTTCAACTTTATGCTAGATTTCATCATGAAGTGTTCTTTTGCTGAATATCACGAAATGGACACTGAAATGCTGCTTGGTAAAAAGAATTGGTTGATCTCGTGTATGGTACGATATCGTCTTGTTATTTGACAGTGGCGAAGCAACACAGTCAGTCATGAGTAAACTCTGGAGTAGTCCCATCATTTGATGTGCACTTTGTACCTTCACAGTGCTGCTGGACAGTCAGCTGTCACTTGATGATCTCTTGACTTTTGGTGATGAGAGACTGGAGTTAGCTGGCCAACTTGCTTATCTTTGTAGCTGCATTAGCAGCAGTGGGCGCTTGGTGGCTAAACCCAATTCACCCAGTACGAAAACTAGTATCAGCTTCCGGAACTTGCGATACCTTTAGCTTCATAAGGTGATTTCTCTCTGTCTGAAAATTCCTGTATACAAGGCTATAGTTAAAGCCATTCGATAGTGATGATACTTTAACCTCTTCGACTAGGAAATCTGATTCACCCGTTAATCCTTGATTACCTTTGTCTACTGAGCATTACTGATGTCTAATGGAAACCTATTAGGTTAATATTTGACGTGGATCTCAAAGTTAGTTCTGTAGCGCAACAAATAATGTTGAGATCGTTGCTTGGATTTGGGCACTTGTTACGAATACCACGTCACGGCTTACCAAGGAGAGCCTTATTTTGCTTGCCGGATGATAATTGTATATTTTCCTTTTCAGCGAGACTTGCCTGTGACGGCATGTTCGGGTGAATAAAAGTATTTTATATCGCAATGACCACGAATGATGGGAAAACGTACAACAGTAATAACAAGAAAAAGAAGCATTTCAACAGTATATTCTGAATTCAGATCTTTCGTGTCCTCTTATCAGCTGTTGACAGACAATCAGAGGAACTATTACCATGTAACATACCAAGGTAAAACGCGGTACAAAATCGTTCGGTTTCAATGAAGTTAATCGATAACGCCTCACCAGGGCTTCAGCCTACGGATCGCTGGGGCCTCTGCAATTTCTCTAAGCAGATAGAATTCCTGACTACCCTAGCCTTACTCTGGCGCGGCGTTATCAATTCGCTTCATTTAAACCGAACGGTTTTGTACCCTGTTTTCCCTTGGTATGTTACATGTCTGTCAACAGCTGATGGGAAGACACGAAATATCTGAATTCAGAATATACTGTTAAAATGATGCTTCTTATTGCTATTCTGAAGTTTGTAAAGGGCACGTCTTGTATGAAAAGTAATAAAAATCGATCTCAAATCTCGGCTGTTTCTAGTGTGCTGTCTAATGTTGCATAAGATGTCTATATCGGCCTTGGTAGACCCTCCGAGAATATAAATACCGAAAGCTTAAAAGAGGAGTTTGGATAATATGAAAATGGGTGTAAAATATGTATGTATGTAGTGGTAAAATATACTTTCTGACCTCGTGGACTTATCTCGGATCCCTTATGCATTACTCGATTTATTTTCCTTGTTATCTTTCTCTCAAGTGATTGGCTGTTGCTTGATATCCTCCATGTGGCTGCGCTTGACGTGCATGTTGACAAGGTGCCTACCTGTCTATTACCCACTACCTCGTCCATACTGGCTCTAGGAGACAGTTGGTCGTTACTGGAGGGGACGGGGTGCACGGTTCTTGTGGCCGCGTTAGGATCAAAGAGTGGTTCCATGCACTTAGTGTGGAGCGGACTACGGTCCAGCCACCGCCTTGTGTGCGATTGATTCCCCAAATACAGGGTGCTTGTGTTTGCCTGTGAAGGAGTGTGGGCCGGCTCCGTTGATGAAACGTGGCCCCCATCCACATGCCTCCCGGTCTTATTCCTTCGGTTTTACGCTGGATATCTGATGTGTGGTTGGAGCTGTGGGTGGTGCAGCGCAAGCCACCCATGGTCCCTCTGTGGGCGCAGGCGTCCTGTGGCAGGCCACAATGACAGGCAAATCCGAAACCGGATGCCGCCAACCATATGTGTATGGGTGTATGATGTGTATGGGTGGGTGTGGTGGTGTGTATGAGTGGGTATGTATGTATGGGTGTAAAATATGTATAAGTTTTCCTTAAGCACGTTGAAAAGTCTACTTTTCTCATGGCTACTCGAATGTTGCTTGGGACACATGATACGGGAGCAAGAGAGGTGCCTTGAAAGGGAAACGTATGAGTAGGCAGCCGTAAAAACAATAGGAACATTCACAATGAAGTGTAGGAATATGGAGGTGCGTTTAGCTTACTTCTTCCCTCAGTACACACACTGTTGATAACATTGGGGTTGGCATAACGATGTGAGAGTTGGAAGGAAGATAAAGACGATGAGTGTAATGGTCTTCCCATTGCAATATTCACTATCTGTTGTAGACTGTTTTCTGGATCATATGAATATTGGGCCTTGTTCATATGCGTGGCTATTTGTTTTGTGAATTCTATTAGTTTGATCACATTTTGAACGGTCAAATATTTGCTGGTCTTTTGGCAAAATTCGTGCTTTGAATCACAAGCATGTGTTTCGGAGGGTACCTGGTTACAGTTTCTTGTAAATCACCCAAGAGAGAGTCAGTAGCTCTGGCGGGTCTTCAACCTGCATTCCACTACAGCATTTTCCTTGTTTCGTGTGTTGTATGATGGTGATTGTATTATTACCATGTTAAGGTTGGAAACGTAGTTTCTTGTGCTGGACATTAAAGAATATTATGCGCCTCAACCAGAGGGGATCAAGCTTGATTTTCTCACATCGTCCGCAGTATTATGATTTCAATGTGGTACCTAATAAGCGCTTTGTGAATCTTCGTTGTACATTTTCTAGTACAATGCGGTCTCGTTTGTTTGTGCTATTGTACATCCTTGGGCAGTATCCCAATAGGGGACGTGAAAGTGGTGAATATGCGCAGAGTCAGATTTTTGTAATTTAGCTGTTCTACATAAGATTGCAATGCTCTGTCTGGTCTTTGCGGTGACGTAAGCTACTTGTTAGAAAAGGCTGAACGAGCATGAGTATCCCAGTCCCAGGTCCCGAACAGTGTGGCATCTATTATAATTGGCTTATCACAAATGAGCAGACCGTCAAATCTTATGTCGCATTTCCATGACAGCGTAACACTTATGGGGTGTACATAACAATCCCCACTTTGAGCACCAGGTTCCGGGCGCATGAAAGTGGAGCTGAATCTTCTTGGTGGCTTCGTTTATGGCTGCAGGGTGAAAATCTAGACCATTTTGATATCATTGGCAAAACACATAGGGTTTTCTGAATTTAACTGCATCAAATATATCGTTACCATACATCAAGAACAATAGAGGATCAGGGGAACTACTGTACTACACCACTTGTGAACTGTCGTATCTTATTTGCGTTCCTGAATCTGCACCACCTGCGTTCGTTTTATAAAGTACGATTTGAACCATTAAAGCAAGAGTTCCCGATTCCATACGACATCAGTTTGGATATTAGTTTTCCGTGTGGTACTCCATCAAAAGCTTTGTGCATGTCAAGGTAACTAATGGTTGCGGACTTGCGGTTATCCTGTGGGGCACTTGGATCATGTATACATTCAAGTCGGCACGTTATGCATGAACGAGCACTCAGTAAACCGTACTGAGAGTTGCTGCTTAACTTTTATGACAGTAGGAAGTAAACCGTTGTATTTTTTATACGTCGCTCCATCATTTCGATTGGATAAATGGATGATTTATTAAACGATAATCCTTTGTTTCGAACAAGCAGGCTGCTTTTTATCGCGGTATGACAATGGCTTTTTCCATTGTGTTGGTACGGTGCTAGAGTCCATGGATATAATGGACATATTCAATAGCAGCAAAAGTGTGTCGATTCCTCCAAGTTTGATACAGGGGGTACATTGTCTCGCCCGCCGAATAGAATAGGGTTGGGTATTTTACAGGCTTGTATACGTCACGAAGTTCAAACTTGACATGGGTGAGTTGATCAAGTGTGGATGGTGGTATATCCGATCTTGAACGGTTAGTATCTACGTTAGCAGAGGCGCAGTAGTACTGACTAAATATTCCAGTGGTGTGCGCATAGTCACTTACTATGTGGTTGTCTACTGCTAACAGTAAGATCGTGTCTTGATTCCGTTTGGTTTTCCTGCACTTTAAAAAGCTGATTGGTCCGCGGTTTTTATATTGACTACAGAGGGCTTATTTTTCATCAGCGATCTGTTTACTCTGACATGCCATCTGTAGAGCTGTGATAATCTTTTGATGTACCAGGAGGGAGGTAATTTGTTTTACGGCATGCCGTTAACAACTTTTGAGCTTTATGGTTGTTTTACGTGACGTATGCGTTTTGTTCGTATGAAGGAAGTGTGTCGATGCATATATTAATGTTGATATATAGAGCATCTGCTGCTTGTGAGTCCCCAATAAGGAAAAAGCTGCCCCTTTGAGCAGATCTCATTAACTTGGCTTTGTATTTCCTGGTATGTATACGAAATTTGGACACAACCGATGTTTGGTATTGCGTGGAATTACTGACTGAAAATTATACTACTCTGTGATTGCTACCAGGAAAGTTATCTGGAACATCGGCGAGTGCTGTTACTATGCCAATGGTGAATATTGGGTCTAAGATATAATCCTTTCCCGCTGAAGAGCTGACTTGTTGGATACATCCGTATGAATGTAGATGTGGATGACGCGTGGCCTGAGGTGGGTAAACGTTGACTTTGCAGCTTGGAATGAAATCACTGATGACTAAAGTGAGTACTGTGAGTCCATCTCGATTTCCAGGCCAGAGTCTATATGACCTGTTTTGTGGTTTGCTAGAGACTTTACAGGGCATGCTTCGCCTTCGGCACCAGTAGCGCGTTTGCTGCTGTTTGTTAGTCGGATTGCCTGTTTTAAGTATTTGGTGCTGAGTTATCTGCGACTAAAGGCTGATTATGTCACGGGGAAGTAAAAACTGCAAGAGAATTGTCTCGCCGATATCGCCTTATCTTTGTACTATAACCAGCTGATCCCAACTGTCCCTTGTTGGGAAGATGTAAGCATTTTGACCAAACGGTTGCTCAGGGCATTTAGGTTTAACATTAAGCCCTCTTTCTATTCCACCTGTTATTTTTCATTTCGTAGGTTATTGTGGCTCAGTTCAAATACCTACTGTATTGCTGTTACTTATGTCAAAGATAATGAAAATGCTAGTCTTTCAGTCCGCTACACTCGCCACTTCAACTTTTCATTTTTCTCCAACTTTTCCGTTGCCCTCCCATCCATAGTTGATTAACGCCCGGCCCATAGCCTTAAGGATTACAGCCTACCGGTTAATCTGACGACGCGGGCTCATGTCTGCGTAGGAATCGGGCGTCCCTCGCAGTATCCTTAACCCACGTGCGACTGATGGTGGTTGCGCAGCAGCGAAGTGCCGGTACGCAGTACCGGTGTACTGCTGTTACCTTTTCTTTCTATTTCTTTATCATTGAATAACAGGATAGAACCCTGTCTTTTACACATTGCCTGTTTTAGACGAACATCTGCACTGATTCCATGTTTGTGATTTTTCAGGCATGCGCCGATATCTTGTCGCGTTTACTTTGTATTGCGACAGCCGCCCGTCGAAATACTGAAGTCAATTCTCATGAATCTGGTGCAGTCTCTCGTAGCGAGGTAGGTTTTTGTTGGTAAAGTCTTCGCTGATGATTCATTCGCAAACACCCATCATTGTGGTTTGGCTGACACATTCGCCTATGGAAGCAGAATTACAGCGCTCCTTCTGTCTCTTTTTAATACCAACAAATTTTCTTCATAGTAACCCAGATTCCACGTTATCATGTAGCCTTTTAAACGAGTGTCCACTGCCACATTTTTATCATCTACGTTATGGCTTTAGCTTAAATGCATGAAACGATCTTCCACTCAGAAGCTCCTAGAGTATGATTCATCGGTTATCTGCTGTTGGCATCGGCGCTGACGACAGTCAAGCTACGAGTTAAGATGCGAGCTGTGTGAATGGATCGTAATGCAATTTCATTTGGGGTAGCATTTCGCACTGCATTATTTCTGGATCACTTTGATCGCCGGGTTTGTCCTCTTCCAATGTTTCAACATGCTTACTCTCGCCACACCATTTCCCAGTCCATGTTAGACTTAAGAGTATTTGCTTGAGGTTTTACTATGTAACCGAGCAGCCGTAACCTGAGCAATCACATGCCGCTACTCAATTCGAATGGTTAAAGTCTCCAATAGGCAAATGTTTGTGAACCGTCTAGTAACCACCACAATCTATCTTCCTTATCATGATGTTCGGCTACCTTGGCTTAAGTACCAACTGTAACCCACCATCTGTTCTGAAGTGCTATTTTTCAATCAGTTGGCATTTGTACATCTTACTACTGCAACTGCCTTACTGACTCAGCCCTGTTACCACCATTTCCACTACAGCTGATGCGCAGCTTGCGTGATCAAACCAGCTACTTTGATTCGCACATAGCTCTGTTAAAGGATGATGAGGTGAGTTCAATCTCCACACGCGTTCTCATTTTCCCCAACATCGTTGCCATATCTCAAAGTTTAATCGTGCTACTGAAAGGTTACCTAGTAGACCATCTGAAGACTAACGAAAATCAGGGAATGATTGAGGCCCACATCTAATTTCCGTGATTTCGATCTTGCTTCAAGTCTGTTGTTCCACTCGCGTAATTTCCGGGTGCAGTTGCTTGTGTAAGTAAACTGGACCAATTATTATTGTTTTCTCACCTTTTAGGTCCCATTCATCGTTCAAGAGCCTGGACTTGGCGGCTACATGTATAAATGTCGTATCCTTTTCATTCTTTCGCATATAGCTATGTGCTCGATTTAAAACAGAACCATTTTTTGTATAGCGACTGTTTGCTCGCGTTAACGCGCATCTTTTACTAGCCACCCAACAGTGCACTGTCATCCTGGTCTCTCAACTTAGTGACAAATGTCCACTTTACCGTCTGTCTCTGTATGTTCGCAATTCTGTACTCCAGCTGATCGAAAGAGAGTCTTCTCAATCTCTTCTGGAACGGAATTTCCACCAGGTGAACGACTGACAAACTTGGGGTATAGAGACGATATCGGTCTTTTGGGTCGGACCCCGTATCTTTACATGCGTCTCCGGACAGATCGATGTAGCGCATTGCACGCTTCTGCATTTTTTCTGAGCTAACAAGCCATGACTTCTAATTATTAGGGATTAAACATTGGTAGGAGTTGACTGGCTCATTTATCCAGGGTAAATGATGGTGGTGAAATCACAGAATGTTTCGGATTTTGAGCAGTTCTCCGAGCTGGGTAATTATTTTGCAGACGTTTCGTTGCCTGACTAGGCAACATCATCAGTGCGGCTTCAGGGGCCTGGTTCGCAGTGCCTCGTAAGCGTCTGCAAAATAATTACCCAGCTCGGAGAACCGCTCAAAATCCGCATCCACACCCCGAGCTACAGATATTCTCATTTATGACAGAATGTTTCATCCAGGAAGCTATATCATTGAGTCTCAATTATCCATCGAAGCGGTAATACACCATCATGTTAAGCAGGATTAAACTGTGCACAGCGCTGTGGTGCGGACAATATCACTGTTTAGAACCAAAACATGGCTACTTCCTATGTTTTGATAATCGGTGCTCGCCGAAGTATTGTCATATTTGGTCGAACACAGAGTGAATCGTACAGGAGTCGAGCAATTTGTATTTTGCACCAGAGCCCTGGTGTTATACTGGGGTGTCTGATAATGTCGAGTTATTTATCTTTTCATTTCGGTATAACTGTCGACCACCTACCTTATCATCATCATTATACACGTTAGCTACAGGTGGAAAACACGTCACCTATTGTGCCGCAATACAAAAGACAAGAAAAGCGAAACAAACAGTGGCACGCCGACTGAGTCCTCAGTAACGGATGGACCTCGTTCCGGAGAGCTAACAGCTGGCTATCGTGCCGTAAAAAGAGAGTCATATTGTGCATAAGCAGTGAGATCCTGATTGAAGGTGGATACTAAGCAGGAGGAAGATAGACAAAGGAACTCACAACACAAACGCCATTGGGGCCGGCTCCAAGCCATATCAGAAAGTGTGTCCAACCAAACGTGTTCACTGTCCTTAGGACCCCAGCCAGGCAGTCGGAATGCACCAACCGACGCCTACGTCAAAGTGAGGGTTTTCATTTCTTTTGACGAACTCATCGTTTGTCCTCCCCTCCTCCTCTTCCAGCCGCACTCCCGGCGCGCAAACGACGCAAGTCGCGGGAGTCGATGTGCTGGCATGCGCAACACGTGGCCCAACCATCGGAGCCTGGTGCTTGATGTAATGTTGCTGAGCGGTTCACTCGCTCTTCCTGCACCAAATACGCGACGCCGAACACGCTCATTGCTCACGCGGTGCTCCCATTAGACATGAGCTAAGCTGCGAAGGCAGCGACAGTCAAACGTGACTAGCCTCTTTATGTCTGTCGACCTGATGGACGAGGTTTTTCAACCATATAGGAGGGTTGAATGGCTGGTTGCGGTATAAACTCTGCCCTTCAGGGTGAGAGTAATGTCGCGTCTGCACCACAGGTGGCGGAGATTGGCAAAAGCACCTCGAGCTTTTGCTATACGGTTCGTAACCTCGTCTTCAATCCCACGGGTGCTAATATAGCTGCCCAGATACTTGAATTCCTGAACGACTTCTAGCAGATCACCGCCAAGCGTTAGCGCAGGGTTGGGTCCCTGCCAATCTTGGAGAAGAACTTTACATTTCGATGGAGCAAAGCATTGCGCAAAACGATTGACAGCCAGTGCTAATCGGTCCAGTGCTGCTTGACATGTTTGGGAGCTGCCACAGATTAGGGCAATATCGTCCGCATACTCTAAGTCAAGAAGTCGCTCACCAGGAAGTAGCTTCACACCTTCTAGGTCGTGTCCAGCGAACGCTGTTTCCATGACTTCATCAATAGCGAACTTAAAGAGGAAAGGTGGCAGTGGCCCACCTTGTCTCACACCGCTGGTGATACTGAAAGGACCACCTACCTGGGCATGTACCGTTTGCCAGTACTGAGCCTAGTTGGGCGAAATTTTACATTGTCCAGTCGATGACGTGGCGAAAAGGTATGGAGAATTGACTGAGGAACGTAATCAGGTTAGTACGTGTTATTCTTCGTGCACGGAGCGTCGGGACAGGCCAAATCAGCCGTTGTAAAGCTCACCCGACGTATCGTAGTCGTGAAATTGATATTGCTCCTGTAACTGGTCTGTTAGACTTCTAGCATTCCAATTCATATTTTTACATTCCCTTTCATTGTCTTATCTCGTTTTCGTTCATTGTTATCATGTTTTGACACCGATTTGGCAACCTGATCAGCGACATTTTACCGAAATGAACTGAGCCACTCGTCGCGTGAACCCATTCTTCCTCAGCTGACTCATCTCCACTGATCTAGTCAAAGTTAAACGAGTTCTATCTCAACACTTTGCAATACTTACTAACGCTCACACAAACAACGCGTTTCCCTATTACTCGCTCTTGTCCCAGCCTACCAAAGAGTAATCAAGGAGCTCCTCATCAAGCATGCCGAGCACGTTGTGCAAGTACTGTGAGTTCCTTGTGATGGCTATTCTTCTCTTTGTTATGTCATGACATTCACAAACTCTACGGGCTACCGTAAACCCACTTTGCCATTCCTCACTGCTGTTTGATTATGGATGTATGAAGCTTGATAAGGTCTGCAACCCCTCACTAAGTAAGAATCGCGGATCTTGTCGTGCACGTCGTTGTGGACCAGAGCGACTCTCACCCCCACGAAGTCGTTCACTTATCATGATCAGCTCCGTGCCCAACGTTTTCTTATGGCATCGTCTACACTTCGATTCATATGGACGTACTAAGGATAGTAGGCATGAGACGGAAATCAAATTGTGCTCAGTTTAAATATGTTGCATTGCCTGATCAATTAGTCGCACCTGAGTGGAGCAAAACGTATAAAACAGCGGCTTCCTAAGCTCAGCTTAATCGAAGTAGAACTTCGATTACACTGAAAATTTGCTGCACAATCACGAAGTGGCAACTAATGTTTTCTTCGATTTCGTAAGTGCTCTGGTACTCATAACCGGTGCGAACGTTCATTGGTACATTACATGGGTAACGACGGCCTCCAACTTTTCTTCGACGGAAACGCATCTTCTTTTTTAATAATTGGCGTTTGGGCAAATAAGAAGGAGAGATAATCCCAACGTTTTGGACTCTGGACTTTTGGAATAAACAACCCATGATTTGTGCACATACTACAGCTTTTGTAAGGCAGATGGTAGTGTTTTCTTTCATCACTATCGTTACCACTTCAGGCTAGATATCCATTGCTGTAAACAAGTCGCATTGAGTACCCAACACAGTGAATCTACCGGCAACCGGTGAAAGAGGCTATACGTTGATGCCGCTCTAAATGGATTGTCTGTGACATGGTTAGATGAGGATTATGTCATACCTGTATTATAGTCGCACCATTCTGCATTTGCATTGCTGCTCATTGTCTTGTCGATGTCACTTTTGCCTTGTCTTTCACGTACCTGCACGGTTTTCCGTAGTACGTAGGCTGGAAATCATGGTTCGTTGCACATGTTTCCGGCCACTACGAATTACGAATCTTTTCGTTAATTTTCCTTGTGTTGAACCCAGCCCATGTCACATCTTATTGTCATTCCCTTGTCCCTTTTAGTTTTCTCAGCAGTGGGCTTAGAATTTTCCGGTTATTGCTTTCATCAGGCCCGCTCCATTACGAAGAGGTAATGCCCCATGTTTTCCATGTTGGTTCCACACTTCTTTCATGTATCCACTCGTGATCATATGACCTGACAATTTATTTGTCACTGATTCAACTAAGGGCTGTGTTTCATCACATACCTGCGCTGTAACTTGGTTTTCAAACCGGTTTGCTGCAGTTTACAGATAGTCTGAGCTTCGTTCACTGTTGGCAGGTGTATAAGTGAACTAATAATTATATGTACTGAATATATATATATATATATATATATATATATATATATATATATGGTTGGCGGCATCCGGTTTCGGATTTGCCTGTCACTGTGGCAAGCCACAGGACGCCTGCGCCTACAGAGGGACCATGGGTGGCTTGCGCTGCACCACCCACAGCTCCAACCACACACCCCATATCCAGTGTAAACCCGAAGGAATAAGACCAGGAGGCATGTGGATGGGAGCCACGTTTCATCAACGGAGCCGGCCCACACTCATTCACAGGCAAACACAAGCACACTGTATTTGGGGAATCAAGCGCACACAAGGCGGTGGCTGGACCGTAGTACGCTCCACACTGAGTGCATGGAACCACTCTTCGAGCCTAGCACGGCCACAAGGACCGTGCACCCCGTCCCCTCCAGCAACGACCAACTGTCTCCTAGAGCCAGTATGGACGAGGTAGTGGGTAATAGACAGGTAGGCACCTTGTCAACATGCACATCAAGCGCAGCCACACCGGGGATATCACGCAACAGCCAATCACTTGAAACGACCAAATAAAATAAAATAAATCCAATAATGCATATAGATACGGTGGCATAACTCTTCGCTAAATTAGCATATGAAGTAGGTTGGCCAGCAATGAATCCGCGATAAGGAAAAAATGTCCACAAGTTACTCAAAAATGCTACAAACGCAACAAAATTACCGAAGATAAGCGCAGTTAGCGTAAGCGACGGGGCCAGCAAATAGAAGACTATTCAGATAGACAAAACTAACCAAATAAACTGGAATGAAATTTATGCAGCTTAAAGAGACCTAGTTTTAGTGTAAGTTGGTTTAGCCCAACTGCGGTGAAGAAGCATCAAGAATGCAACATCAGCCTCAGCATGGGGCATATATATATATATATATATATATATATATATATATATATATATATATATATATATATATATATAAATCAGCGTGCTTCTACTCAACCACGGGTCTTATTGCCGGACGTATTTTGACATTACTAATAGCATTGAGTCAAAATGGTTGTTTCTCATAAGGGCGATGGTATTCTGGTCGTTGAAGGGCACCAAACATCAGACATGCTTATCGACGCCTCGCTGGGCAACGTTTTTGAACTGACTTGTTACCCAAGTAGATATCCTGTGTTCGTCCTACGCACCATATACTCTGCTCAAAATTATTCCGCTGTCAAAATTTTCGTGGCTTTTGCCACTACCCTAAGGGATGAGGTTTCTGTGTCATTTACGCTGGCGCGGCCACCTCGCTTTATGGCCAACCTGCGTACGACTGGTGTTCGCGGGGAAGCAAAGCATCAGTACGGGGTACGGCGGATGCTTTTCTCTATTTTTTCGCGCCTCATGTTTGCATTCAGCAAATCCAGTTTATTTTTTTACTGAAAACAGTCTGTGATGCTTTGCAAGTACTCATTAACAGCCTCATCCACTAGTATCCAGTATTCTCGACGTTTATGTACATTGGTCACCATGAAGCTAAAGCTGTCGGCCATCCCACTTCTCGCATAGATCGAACGTCGCGTCTTGCTTCCCCAGAAGGATTTCCGTCGCACGTTACCTAAGATGATCGCAGAAGGCTTCATTTCCACTACGGTTAGTTTCTCCCAGCGTATTAACCTCCTCTGCTCTACACTTCCAGAAAATGCCCCATAGACTTCCTGTCTAACACTTCACCTAAGTTAAAGTAGTTCATTGCTATGCTTAATCACATTTTTCCATGCATATTTTCAAAATAATTTGCTCATATGTTATGTATGAGTAAGAGGATTCTATTTGTAATTTTAGTGTTTTCCTCCTAGCAGCTCACAACCCACATAGATCAACCACAGTCCGGAAAAGCACCAGACGCGTTTCACCCCATCAGCGGTGCGCATTCAATCGATCCATTACTGGCGATCGATCACATGATCGCTTAAGGCTGACGCCAAATAACCAGCAGCTTAAGCCATTGAGCCCTGGGGGACGTCGGCTGGGCCACATAATTTGCAAGCTGACTGGGATAGCACGACCTACCGTACACTGCCACGCAGGTTACTACCCTTGCAGATGGCAGCGGCTAGCCTCCAGGTCATGCCTTCCTCTCACTAGACGCTACGCCCATGGTATTTGAAACTAGGAGTGGTTACATATTATATTACTTATGAGTAAGAGGATGTCAGTAGTCAGTTTAATATCTTCGTCCCAACAGCTCGAAAGCTACATAGCTGCTGTGTTGAAAACTAAAATGAGAACTCGTATGTGGTTTTTTACTGTTTAGATATTGGTGGTTTGACAGTATTATGGCATCACTCCCTTTCACCACCAAATTTTCACTTTTTTAATCACGTTCCTTTTTTTCCAATTTCTTCTGGACGCTTAACTCGTGTCTTTTCTGTATTTTGTCATGCATTGGTAAACCACTACTTTTTTGGCTAACTTTCTTTGCATCTGTTATTGGTTTGACTAAAATGCATTTCCACAAAAATCGCTTCACCAGTATCTGGTATCGTGTTACGAAGATTTCGCACCTGAGTAAATTGCCCCAGCCATTCAAACTTAGCAACGCTGGGTGCACGTTCTTTCCATTGTTTCCTTGTAATTTGACCTAAACTCCACTTTAGTTATGGAGCTCTTCATGAGTGGCGACGATTGTAATTCCATTGTTATTGAGCACTTGGTTTACTTAACCGAGTATTGCTGCACTCATGTTTGACCTACTCTGAGCCACATCTGGGATGCCCATAAATCGGATCTTGCGTTTACACTTATTGAATGGACGATGCAGCATAACCACGAGTTATAGGTAGGGAGTTTAGGGGCTGGGTCGTGGACTGGCCTCACACTTGTTTACATACCTACACTCTAACCAACTAATTACTGTGGCACTCAATCTACCGAATCCACTTATTAGAGCGAGCACGATGGCTTGCTTCTTTACCAATGTTTCTCCTTCAGCATGTTGATAATGTTACGATTTGTGTGAAATTTACAGGCTGCTGCAGCCTCCTGGGTAATCAGGTCGTATAGCAGGGGCTTCTCGACCACTCTTCCTACGCCACATCTTGTTGGCACATTGCTTGCCCTCGTTATCTCATTACATTGATAGTACAAATGCATTTTTCATCTCAGAGTCTGTTGACTTTCAGAATTTCCGGCTCCTGTTGCCCTACATATTCACGATCGAACAGACACTTTCTGCATATACTTTGCTTTCATGAGTCTCGGCTGCTTTGTATCTTGCACTGTCGTTACAGACCATGTAATGTTACAGTTAGATTCCGAACACTTACGCAGATCACTGATTTGCCTCATCACGTCTGTTTCTTGTCCGTAGATTGTGTGAATGCCGTACCCGATACGGTGCCCACTAAGCTTAGTGCTCTGGCTAGTTTCCTGTGCTCCCTATTGTACTTACTTTACTCCTCCAATCAATCTGAGTCAGATATCAACGTCCCTGTCCTCTTATGCCGCTTACGATTCCCTTCTGCAGCTGTACTGCCCCACTCCTTCAATTGGAGTAACAACGCACTTACATTAAGACGTCTTTTCTACGAACGTCAGTCAGTGCCACCTCTCCTCTCAATAACTTTGTCCCGACCATCAAATTTCCACTGGATTGCAAGGCATCAATGCATGGATCTATAGAAATGTATGCGCATTTTGGTTCGTGTCAACCTATGATCGGTTTGGAATTCCTTCACGTTACACACTTATCTTGCCAACCTCGCTGACGCCACGTTGGTGTACAATGACGTTGCCACGCAGGCGGGCATTTGGTGGAGCAGCTCGTCGCCGCTGCAAAGACCACCCCGAAGAGAATCTTTCCTTACGTGAAACGGCACCTAGAGCCAGCAGATGATCCACCAGTGCTAGATGTCTCGGACGTACAGCCCTAATCTCCAGCACTGAGCATGTATCTGTGTCGGTGGCACAATTTACTCCAGTGTTTTTAAATGATCAGGTATCGAGTTCGACGTGTACCGCGCTTACTAACTCGACAGTCTGGTTTGCATTATTGAAGTGGTGCATCAACTACTCGCCAACCTTGACGGAAACCAACCTGCTGACACAGACGGTCTCCACTCACTAATTCTCAAGTCCCTATCGGCCATGACTGACTTGTTTAACAGGTCATTGTCCGAAGGTTCTTTGTCGAGCGATTGCTATTGTTCATTGTTAGTGCTGAAACCGAAGGGCAGTGACCGCGGCAAAGTAGACAACTGTAGGCCAATTTTCCTGCATCGATTTTGGCCAAGGTTGCCGAAAAAACCCTAAACAAGGGTCTACTACAGCTGCTCCAATCAGAAGATCTACTGACGCGTGCACAGCATTACTTTATTGTGGGTTGATCGCGTATTGCAGACATGTCCGTGACGAGGCGTGTATGGTTACAGGCAGTGAACCAGGGGAAGTCTGTCGACTTCATCTACCTCGATTGCAACTAAGCGGTCGATAAGGTAAACCATGTGATCCTCCTTCACATGCCATCTAATTTACTGATCTCTCTCTAATAATGGAGTACCCCAAGGCACGGTGCTGGGGTCCACTCTGTTCCTAATCCGAATCAATGTTCTTATTCGGTCACCGTGTGCCCTGTTTGCTGACTACCTGTAGATTTGGAGAGTCATTAACACCCCCGATGACTGCGGCCTTCTTCAGCATGTTATCTGCAGAAGTCTGCCTCCAGGTCAATCCAAGCAGGTCGATATTCATGAGTTTGGCGACGGATTGTGAGTGCCGAACTGACATTATTGACGGCCAATCGCCCCATCCCAAGTCTTCCGTGAGGTGTACTCTTTCGTTGCGATTTAAAGTCCTTGGACAACACGAACAGGTTATGTCCAGCGCACCGGGCATGTTTTGGACGCTCAGACGCAGCTTTTGTACTTGTTCTGAAGAGGTCTCCACTGGGCCCTTCTTTTCTATCACAAAACCAGTACTCGAGTACGGCTTGCCTGCCTATTATCCAATCACCATAGGCGAACCACAGAAATCCAACGGGTCGATATCAGGCCCAATCCTAGTTTACGAGGATTGTCGTACCTAGGCCGGTGGAAGAAATCAGGACTCCACGCCTCGTCCTGTCATCGAGTGTGAGTCGCTTTCATTGTGACCTGCCGCATCTCTTTGGCTACATGCATAGGCCGTTGCTTCACTTGTGAACGCCTTGTAGCACACGGAGGTACCGGTACAAGCTTGTGGTGCCGGATGTAAAGCGAGTTCCTCATCCTCTGTGCTTTGAACGGAGAGTGGTAAATTTATGGTACAGTCTGCGAAAACATGTCGAGGGAGGCCAAATCTGTGCATTAGCTCAAAACCTTTTTTGATTTACATTTCACCATCATACCATTCGATTGCAACCTTACAATGACATCTTACATTTGTGAACCCACTGAGACTGCAAGTCATCTTTTTATATGCTACATAAGAACTTAAAGAATACCTTAATAATAACAGATGGCAAATACTTTATTTGACATTTTTGATTTTATTCCGTTGGACTTGTATAGATTTAAATATTCACTTGCTCCCACAATTCAGTATTCAGCATACCAACTCCATGGTTGTGTGCGATTGACATCGTCGCTACCTCCGGAGGGAACTGAGGCTTTCTGTTTTTCGGGCAGTTAATGGCGTACTGAGAACGAACGATCACCATTTTCATTTACTAAGTCAGCGTACTGAGCTCGATTACGTATGCCCACTCCTTAGCATCGCACTCGACACGCGCGTTTGGACCCCGTACCAGGCATGGGTGTAGAGTTGGAATTTTGACTGGGAATGGCCAATGCTTAGTGGGTTTTAAGAAAACTAAAAGGCACCAACACTAACGTCATCTTGTATGTGAACATTGCTGAGCCAATCAGGTCAGTCGCTTGTTCACCGCCTTAGCTGAAGGAATGGATTTACGCTACTCCCGCCCAGTGGTCGCTACAGGGAGACGTCCATGATCTGAACTGATGGCAGGTGCAAACCATTGGGCAGGCAGTGAAGTACGAAATCCTCACTACACCCACTGACAGGGCTGTCATTGCCTCTGGGAATTGCTCGAGGGAGCAGAACCCAGACGGCGTCATTGAGTAGCAACTGAGAAAAACGGCAGATTGACTAGCAATTTTCCGTGCGCTGCTTCAGTACTAACATTTTGGACAACCCAGACAATCATGATAGGACTGCGGAACGCTGCACATTTTGGCTGTCCGCGCACCTACCTAGCTCGTTACGTTATCCTGACAGCTAAATTGACCTATTTCTATCTCACAAGGCAGGACGTGTCATCCCTTCATAGGAGGACTGCACAAAGTACTGTATCACCTAATTTCACTTGGTTGTTGTATTTCTCTTCCAAAGGCAATGGTTTGTGGGTCATTGTAACTATGTGGGTCGAATTGGTGACGCATTTGGTATCATTACATTACCAATGTTCCACAATAGTTTACCATAATTAGTTCCTCTTTCGTCAATGCTTCCGCTTCCTACTCACCCGTGCACGATTTTACGAACCTTACATCTGTGTCGAATATCTACGGCAATAAAGCCACGAGCACCAAAATTCCTAAGCAGTACTGGCTCAGATCGTTTGGCAGATGTCGTGTAACCATGTCTCGTTTGGTGGCCACTAGCTACCAATGGTCGATTGCATCAGCCGATTCGGCCACTTCTCAGTAGAAGCTTTATTGTCTAGTGACACTGGGAAGCCTTATCGTGGCGATTGAACAGTTCCCAGGTTAGGGCGAGGCAGTTGATACCGTAAATTCTCCACTTGTATTCGCAGAACCTCGTAGCCATTGCATTTATCTTCTAATCTGTCTTAAACTTACATGCACACTCCGCTTCTTTGCCTAACTCTGAGCCGCATTACCTTAAATTTCCACGCTCTTTACCTATTCATCTTCATTGTTGCTTATCTCATCTGTTATCTAACTTATTGATCCAACCATTTTGTTCACGCTCATTCATTCAATTTGCGCTCCTTATTGGATTCCTTTTATGATTCCTAGTGGTTTTTTGCTTTTTATAGGAGCTTTCTCGAACTAAGGAGTACACTGCGGAGACCATTTTTTGTCTTTATTCCGTGAATTTGCCTCGTATTGCTCATTTACTTGTTGAGCTAGCACAACATACAGCTCTCCGTGTCGGTCTGCGAGGAATTCAAGAATTTGATCAGAAGGAGTAAGTCAGACATGTAAACTACCCAATCAGTGGTGTAGGTAACCTGAGGTTTTCTTTGTGCACGCCCTGTTTTCTTTTGGACACCCTGGCATTTTTCCACAAAGGCGAACATGGGTTATTGCACACCAATTTACTTTTTGTATTCTTTCTGTAGACGTCTCGTTGAGCAGCGCTACAGAGTGGAAACATTGATCAAAAGACACCAATCGAAGTTATGTGAACTGAAAGCCCAGTTAAATGAATTAGCTGAGGATGAATCGTTAACTAACCTGATGAACCAGCAAAAGGAAAGTCTTGATGCCCTCAAATCAAGCGTGACTCCCGCAGAGCAGCAGCAGACGAAGTCTTTAGTGTCAAAGATGGCCAAGTGAGCGACACTTTCCATCCTTCCGAATATTGTTATGTATCATGCGGAGGTTTGTTGGTTTGGTTACTTCAACAGGGCTCTACACCGCAGTCCGTTCTTTGAGATTGATCTTGTTTCATCCTGTTACTCCTCTGTTCGCTATATACGTTTGCTAGTTCTTCCTGTCTAATACCTGTTTCCAACCTTGACTTGTTACTTTGGTATAGTTTTGTTATTCAATTTCGATTATATAGTAGAGGCCAATGCATGGCTGAAATTTGTTCAACTTCGGATTCATGTGGTTCTGTACTTAACTCCCGAGCTTGGCCACTGACAACAAAACAGCTCAGCTCTACCCAGGACTAGCCAAATTAGTTGATCATGTGTAACACGTCTGCGTAGGTGCGTGCGACTTCTCGGAATCCATACTTTACAAGCCAGCGTCATTGGTAATTTGGCAACGAAGCGCCGGTGCGGTGCACAGGCGTACAGCTGATGCCTTTTCTTATAGATTTGCGTGATAAACGTTTCATCTAGTTCGCACCTTGGATGATCGTATGACCGATTAAAGTGGACGCCGTGAAATTCTCCTTCCTTTTTGCTCCTTGGATCGTGCGTCTGGATACAAATGTAGCTAATTGCATTTGACACGTTAACCAGTACCGGTATATTTTCATCTTTTTTGCGTGCGGCCATTTCGCAAGCATTATTACTAATAAGGACTTTCTACTTAGGTGTGGATCCTTGGTTCTGCTTTCAACAAACAGCGTGCTTTGAAGTTCACCGCGGTTGGTGCTCTGAACTACTAGCATCCATGCTTCACTATCAATGTTTCTGCTCTTTGTAACCAGAGAAAGGTATTTTGCCCTTTCATTTTTATAGATGAGTAGTTGGGATCCGGATGATATACAGGGATGGAATTCTTCACAACTATGCTCAATCAGATGGTATCAACTCCTGGAAAACCACCGGATAGCCGTGCGATATTTGTGACTATGTTGTTGTCGAAGCACTTACCGAAGAGTAAAATCGTGATCAGTGGACCTCTCGCTAGGCGGAAGACAGTCAGACTTTCACTGATTTGTCTTGCACATGAATCAGTGAGCCACGGTATCACGATGTATGTCGGTAATTTTAAAGCATTCGTAACGAAACTGACTATTAAGTTTTTCACAGGAGCTTATTTGATCTTTTTTAACGGTAGGAATGACAGTTAGCAACCGACAAGTGGTGTCAAACAAAGCGGTTTAGGTGGTCACTAGTGAGTCATTAGAATACGTAGGCAGATGGCGTCAGTAGCACTAGTCGGTGCGACACACCGACTCTTCGCTACCACGAGACCACCACTAGTCGATTGTAGACTATGGATACTGCCAGCTCGATTTCGCCTACGCAGATCCGAACCGGTGACCTCTGGGTTACACAAGTCAGACAATTTACCTCTTTGGCCACCATCTGACGATAGCCAGTGGTCGCCTGAGCTTGGCATCGCTGTACATTATCAGCCGCTGTCACTTCTAATTAACAGTGGGGATTGCTACGTCATGTTTCGTGTGGGTATTGATACGCTGGGTCGGTTATGACGTTCTTACAAAAGCTCCGCCCATCGTTTTTGTTGACGTTATTCGGAGTGAATCAGTTATCCATCTTTTTTTAGCTATTGTCTCAATCCCAGTGTATCACAATGTATCGAATTAGTTGAAACAACACCCTAGTGTTCCCAGCGGCCCTGACATCCAACTAGCTGACCATCGTCATCGACTACCCCTTCTGGTCGATTCTCAGACTTCTACTCAAGCGACTTCTCGGTGAATTACGAACACTTTGCAAATTACACACCGCGCAATCCTTCTAGTCACGATCCAGACAAAACCACAATTTGGGCGCACACGCGTCCTCAACTGCTTCTTGCATTGCATTGGGGATGCTTCCAGTCAATCCCACCACCCCATTCGTTAGGGAAAATGGACACAACGATTCATCTCGGTATTTACGTTCCACGAATTAAGAATATATTTACATGCATATACGTTCGGAGTTAAACACTCTGCTAATGCCAGGTGAACTAGCTTTAGACGCGCAGTTATATGGGGGGGTGGTCAGAATCGAATGCAATTGATTTAGACTGACCGACTATCTTTCACTGACGTTTGCCGTCTAGACCTGATCAGATTAAGTCCAGAATAGCCGCCACTTCTCTCGAGATGGGCGCTTGTACTGGACTGCTGTGCTACTTATGCCTAACTTGCGATCAGCGCACGCAAAAATTCTGTCATCATTGTCTATATGATGAGCTTCGACCCCGAAATTGCCTCCGACGCGATAATCCTAATCTAAGAGATGATCTACTAGAACATCCATGTCATTCACATTGATCACGATCTATAACTTAAGACCATTCAAAGGAAAAGTGAGGAGCTGCTTATAGAATTCGCCTTGGCATCTTCCGGACTGCTATCGATGGTGGCTTGGTGCATCAAATTCACCCTACCTTCATTCGCCTCCTACGGACTGCTGCAGCCTCGTAGTCGAATCGCACAAATGCACCTGCTCCCTAAATTGAAGTATAGTGATGCATTTTAGGCACGTCTACTGGGGACGACACCAATGTTGCAAATGCCGCCGATGATAAATTCCTCTTCATCGGACTCACGAATTTTGTGAAGCCTGTTGTTGAATTCTAAATCCAATAGGTGCACATATATTGCAACTGTTGTTCTGCTCGTGTGTTTCTGGGATACAACGCTGATCATCTCCAAGGTAGTTGTGATGCAATTGAATACGGAGGAATGTGTGTGAGAAGATTATGGGCCCCAGTTTTTAGGCTTTATTCTACAAGCAAGTGAGGCATGTGGGCTGAAATGAAATGCGATACGATTATGATAAACGAGTAATAAGTGGGAATTTTACATCTCATTCTCCCCAACTAGATGCTGTACTAGGGTATACGTGGAAGGTTTTAAACCAGGCAGATACACAGACCATATACTCTAAAGGTGTGAAGGACTATATGGACAATGAGGAACAGTTTGGAGCACCTGAGTGTCCGTTGTTGTCTGTGATAGATTCATTTTGGAACTCTATTATAAGGGGAATACTAAGGCCACTAGATAGATCCAGTCCTGGTGATGCCAGGTTGCACAATGTCATCCGGGAATTGAATGTTGGCGTACTGGGAATTGCAATCCAATAGTCAAACCTCATCAACTGAAGGCTCGTATTTTGTGGCTCTCACATTTTGACGCAGCAACGCGGGTCCTGACATACTCAACCAACTTGGTGGCGAAATTGCTGATGTTAGTTTACAGTTGTAGGATAAGAGTCTGATGCGGAGTGGCGTTTGTGGCGGTGCGGAGCAGGAAACGAAACGGATGCGAGGCATCGACCAGTGCAATTTCTTCCTCTGAGGCCTTTGGCTCTAAGTGAATGGGTAATGGATTTCCAGGTAACGTTCCACCTGCCCATTATTCTGAGGGTATTGGGCTGTGGTCCGGCTGACTGCGATACCTTTCTGATTTAGTAACTGACGCACCTTGTGAAACATGAACACCGAACCGGGGTCAGAATGAAAATAGTATAGTAGTAGTTTGCTTGGACAGCTATTCACAGTTGATGCGATCGTGTCACTACATGCAAAGGCTTGCAGGGAGCGGGAGTATTCATCAATGATGGTGAGCAGGCACTTATTGTTTGCTGTCGGCAGCAGAAGTCTCTTGAAATCCATGTTTAATCTTTTGTAGGGGTGATCGCCTTAGTGAGCGTTCCGGACGATTTGTAAAGCGAAGTTGCTTCTCAGCACGGATGCTGCAGCGGGAGACCATTGCCTTCACTTCGCCAACTGAGAAAGGCAGATTATTTGAACTAACTAATTGCAACGTTTTAGTGACTCCGGGATGGCACAGTGTATCACACCATTCATGGAGTATCATGATGTGTGATTTCGATTGGCCCTATGTGCGTGATAAAGCGTCTACAGCCACGTTGTAGCCCTTACTGCGGTGTAACAGGAGAGTTCAAAGCGGCAACGCAGCATTTTATCGTTTTCTAACTTACGCTTCTGATCAAGGTTAAACATAGATAAGACATCGCTAATCAGCAGTAGTAGTGAAACGGTGGTCTGCTAGGTAATGCTACCATTTTCAGATCGATTCAACGATATGATGTACCTTCCTCTGAACAGTAGTGTAGTGTCGTTCACGGGCGGATGGCCTTCGTGAGAAGAAAGCAATTAGTCGTCCGTTCTGTGTTAGTGTACCGGTGATAGCAGTATCAGGTGCATCCGTTTTCAATGACTAAGAGTCTAAAGTCATCAATAAAGACGATCAGAGTGTATTCTAGGATACCCAGTGTGTACGACTCCTGCAGGGTTGAAGGGTGTACTAATTTCCCTGTTAATCTAGCAAAAAATTCATTGGCGGTTTCCTTCCGCGGAACACTAAGAAAGGCTCTTCGGGAATGATTGTCGACCAAAGAAGAAACAGTTTTCCTATAGACGTGGGCACGTTATACTTTCTGAGTACCCACTTCTACACTTGATTCAGTGGTCTAACGCACACGTCAGCAGGGAGCAGGTTCAGCTAAATGCATTCAACTTTAGAACATCCGTATTACTGCGCCGGAAGCACTTGGTCTGGTCGAAACGGAGAAGTGCGATGGTAACGGACCAGCTGTAGACCCCAGCGGCATGACACAAGGGATCGCCCATAGGTGATAGGTGCCCAATGGGATGAAGTGCGGAAGCAGCCCTCGACGAAAGCCGCGAGAAACAGCACGCTACAAAACACTCGGGAAGCAATCGTGACGCTACTCAACATTGCACATATGAATGACGTTTTGAGTGGTCAAGCCTCATGTACCTTGTGGATGCCACTGTCTCACTAAATAACCTTCCGCATTCTTTCTGTCTCTGCATGATGACACAAGTTTACAAATCAGTCGTACAACTATTTCTAAGGCCATTACCACTTGCTTACACTTGTGCACCATGTTTGCTAAGCGTCTGCATCATTCGTCATCCTTTCTATCGACATCATATGGCGGACGCGTGCGAATGTTAGATTGCTATTCAGTTCTTGCTCTATTTCGACCTTTTCCTAGAGAATATTCTCATTCAAATATTTCGGTAATAAGCCCTCTAATCTTTCATCCCTCCGATTCTTCTGATACGTTTTCTACAGTTGGTGACATATTTTCCGACTTTGCCTCTTTCTGTGATCAACTATGGCCACCTGGAGTCTACTCTACAGTGCGATTGCCAATAATTTGCGCCGCAATATCTCATCTTCACCCTTTCATTTTATGTTAGGTGCTAACCGGAAGGTATAGGATCAGAGCGCATTCTGTTATGGAGTGCGCGCAATTCAAGGCTTATTCATCCTCCATTACTGTACCTTACTGGTTTGATGTTGGTCCTACGGAAACCAAGATCGCTGTGCATTCATCTTCATTTAGATCTTTAACATCTTTAAGTTTTCCCCTGGTAATCTTCGATTTGAATGTACCATGTGCACCTGTGCATAGGTTCCTAGAAATAAGGAAACGTAATTCTCACTTCCGTATGCTACCCATAAGCTACGCACTATTTGAGTTGCGATTGCTTTGTTAGCGATTTACCACTTTTCCTAAGCCACTCACTTATGGTACCGTCTTATCCATGGGGATTGTGCAACCGGAGACCTTTGTTTAATTTATTTTAAGCCGTATATGGATATGCTATTCAGCAACACTATGGCTTAGTTATCGATGGGCATTTTCCGTCTGTTCCCACGCGCATTATTTAACCGCGGACACAAAGCTTTGTTCTAGCGGGTTGCGAAACCCCAGTCTGTCAGTCAGTAGTCTCGTAACCAACATGGGCATCACGCTCTTTCTTTGCCTGGGCTCGTTGGTATTATTTCCAATCCTGGGGCAACACCTCGTCAATCGTTTAACTGTCGATGGACAACTTTGTGTCTTGTTGTTGTTGTTGCTGTCATCATGGATACGGCCAAGCAAACGAACCAGTCATCACTGAACAATTGCCTTTGCCCACATTCATCGTCCTAGGCCAAACAGAGTCCTGATAAGTTCACAGATCTCAATTTTAAACCGAACATATATCTGTCGCCCGAACTTACCGAAGCGAACTTCCTTTGCATCGAATATTCCTCGCTGAATCTGCGAGTTCGACACGATTTTCGTTACTGGAAGAGCCAATTCAAATTAACTTCCCTGCTTGCGTTCGAGGAATACTGTTACTTGTACATATATTGGCTTACACATCGCTTACAAGTATTCATTATACCGTTCACTGAACACGAGTCAACGGCTTATGGAGTTGTCACACAGCTAGTTGCCTACGAGAAAATCGCACCAGTTGATGAACACTGTATATTGGTTGTCTCACTTGGGACTTATTTATACGATCACCCAGTTATCCTTTGTGTCACTTGCTCCCAATTCTCGTCATGTCAATTTCTTTAGTTGGTCGCATTTTTGGAACCTGGCGGTTGGGCTTCCGACAGGATTGCGTGGATTGATTGTTCCTATTTACTTTCGCCGTGTCCACCCAAACAGCATACTTTTCCATCAAGATAATCCCCACGTAGCTTATCCTCGAGACTCATTGATTATCTCAATACGTATTATCGCTTGATTCAGTTTCCTTTACCTCTTCGCTTCCATTTGTCTAGCCCATATTAGATTCAAGAGCGTCATTGTGCGCTTTGGCCTGTACGTGTTTGCTCTCTAAACCGTCACACTGTTCAAAGCTTATTGTAGTCAGCAACTACTTGTCACTCGGCACTGGCAGGACGTTCCAGTTGCCGAATAACACTAGGGTGCTATATTAGTCTAGCCGGCATAAAAGGCTGGAGGTTTCACTACCTTATCGGGCACCGGTTTCCTCCTCTAAGCCACGCCAGAAAATGATGCGTTCCTCAGATGCCGTGGTTATTTCGGTCATTCATTCACACTGTAGAGATTGAATATCTATCCGACAGATGACCTCAGCAGCAGCCTATGTACTGTTCGAGAGACGTTGACAGCATGGCAAACATATAGAATGTTTGGAACAGTTAGTTCCCTTCAGTAATTTGAAAAGCGCAGTAAGAAGACGAAGACTGGCAAATGCACGCATTTCGTATTATCTCATATAGAATGTTACCAACTTGGTGACAACCAGGTCGAAGCAGCTTATCATTCACAGTTTAGTCATCTGTTCCTTCGCACATTCCTGTCCGCATTGGAAGGTTGGCTTATTGGGAAAGATTGCATGCATGTATAAAGGGCGTCTGCACTCCCACCGAATATTCTGATCGATCATTTGTAAACTATTGTTAACCTGCGTCTTAGTGTGCGTCCTTGTCGTCAACACTTTTCGGGGTGACCGTTGTCCATCTGTCAAAGCGGTGTAGCCGGATATACTTGAATTTTCAGGACGGGGGAGTTTTAGCTCAACCATATTACCACCTTCACAATCGTGCATGTTGCTTGTAGAAGTACCAATGAGTCTACGGCATCCCACCTCACTACATTTGTATGAGTGATATTCACATATATTTGAATTCGCACGCATTCCCTTTCTGGCTTAGAATCACCGATTGACTGGCCGCTATATGGAGACTATGATCTTTGGGTTCCTCTGAATAATATTTCCTCGGTTATATTTTCACCTGTCAGGAGGCCCGATACTTTATTGACAAACAGTATGTTGCACGCCTGTAACCCTACCTCTGTGCTCCATGACTCATGTTCCTCCTCACCCTGATGTCATCCAGCAAGAGTTAGTTAGCTGCTGCTGGAACGTCAAACTTTACCGACTAATCAGGGGATATGTAGATGGCGCCACTTTAAATAGATAAGTGAATAATGACAGTTTGGTTTTAACGTACCCTCCATGTGTCTTGGATTACGACACGCAATCTCAGCTGTGGCCTCAATTGACTTTGAAGTCAGGATGTACCATACCAATCACTGGGAACGTATCCGACCGAAGTGGAGGGTTTCGGTGTGGCTCTCTCCCAAGCCTGTACTCCACGAATACCGGTTTTGTCCTGGTTAGGACTCGTCAGGTAGAGATAGCCTGAATTTGGAGTGAACCTCGGCCCATAATGGTTGGCGGCTATCGCCATGATCACTAGACCATTAAGCTTCGCGAGCACAGCTTGACATAACGGTTAGAAGTTGATCGTCGGGCTTTGGAATACCCACCATGTGCCTTGGATTGCGACACGTAGTCTTAGTTGTGGCTCCGGTTGATTTTGTATAATGTTTGTTTTCGTGATGCATAGCTTTATTTCTGTTGGCTGCTTCCACCAGAACGTTGATCGCATATGAATACAGTAATCGGGATTAAAAAGCACCGCATATGTCTCCGCGATATTTAAAGTTTTGTAGATTTAACACCTCGCGTCCGTGAGTTGTCTGAAGATATTTTACACACATCACAACCAAATCTTCCCCGATGATCTTTCTTCTACAACACGTGTAATTTGTACCCCACTCGCTTTTAGTCTCCGTCTTAACTCTTTGTGTTGCCTTTTCTCCTCAACTTACTTTATGTTGCCGTAGTTTTTACCATTTATGTTATTTACCCCGGACATTGTTGTTGTTTCAGAATCGTTTATGGTAACACTTCATCGTGTGATACTGAGTTTTTAAATTGCATTACATTTTCCTGCCTAGTAACAAAGTCAAGAGCTTGCAAGTAACCCGTGATCTCTTCACTGTTTCAATTTGTGTACCTTTACGTTAATCCCACTTTTAATACATTGTTACCATTGTCTTCCTTTACTATTCATAGGTTGGTAATCTGCGAGCACGAAGCACACACCACGTGGTTCGTTGCTGACCTGTATCTTAGATTGCAAGTTAACTCCGGATAGTCAACGCACCACACATCGTTACTCTAGGTACTTGGTGTACCCTCCAGTGTATTCAGCTTGGTCACTTGGGAGTCCCACACATTCAACCAGTTGTCTTTCACTGTTTTGTTCATCTTCCGGGACTGCTTTGTTGCTTCAACATGACTGTGTTTGGCCCTACCAGCCCGTGGACAGCCATCGAATCAATTTTTCTACAATGATCTGCCCAATTTATCTACAGATGTACATTCCCGCATTTTTATGCCTACTTCTCAAGCACCAAGATGAAAATTCCCCTGTTTGACGCATTTTTCACACTTAACGTCTCTGAAAGGTTTTCTATGTTTATAGTTGTGAGAGAATGTTGACACAACGAGGTTCTGTTCACCCACTGAACGGTTGCATGCGACTGTTCTCGTGATTCCACTCAGTTTATACTACCTACCCGGTTATGCATGCTCACGCACTATAAATATCACCTCAGCTTTAGATGACTCTTTCTGTGCTCCGTTTCTTACCACTTTTGTGGTACGCTTCTCATTCCCACATCGCTACCTCACTCCTAATTTAATAGGTATGGATCTCGTCACTGTGTTTTTATAAGTTGCTATAGGAGCCAGGTAATTTGGAATTTTCTTTATAAGAATCATGCTAATTGTCGTCGACACCATAACTGCTACCGCCTCCAATAAAACCGTACTACATCAGTGTTGGTGCTTTCTTTCCCGTGCAAACCCAGGTTGTGAAAAAACCAACTATCTCTGAAATTAGCAAAGGACTGAAGGAGGCTTACTCCAGAGACCCAGAATAGACATAGATAATCATGGCCCAATCGCAAGTAGCTGGCTTTCCCGTAACGATAAAGCAGCGCTTGCTAAACAGCTTTTTTTCAACTCACTGTCCAGCATCATGAGTAACCTTACCACCCATAAATCACCACCATGCACCGCTGCAACAGGCACTGCGTCTAGATGGACACGGTAGACACATGGTTGCCTGTTGCATCTCACATTTATGAGATGTTTTGCGTCAAGCGTAAACTGGATTCCGACGTGAAAAGGTAAATAAAACAACAACGTCCAATCTAGTTATCCGTTTTTCAACTTTCCATTGCCAATTGAACGATTGCCTTCTTCATCGTTAGGTCATCCAACATCATTAAACAAAGGAAGTTTTTCTCGCCAGCATTGAATACTTATACGTAGAACCTTCCATCACTAACGCAAACTATTTCCTCTTCTGAAGGGTAGTGGTGATAATTTTGGTATGATTTGGCGGCGTCCGTATCCGGATTTGCCTGTCACTGTGACGTCCATGGGGACAGTCACAGGACGCCTGCGCCTACAAAGGGGACCATGGGTGGCTTGCGCTGCACCACCCATAGTTCCACCCACACACCCCATATCCAGTGTAAACCCGAAGGAATAAGACCGGGAGGCATGCGGATGGGAGCCACGTTTCATCAACGGAGCCGGCCCACACTCCTTCAACAAGCAGATCGGAAGCATTCCGGCCTAATTGGGAAACCATACACACCAGACGTACACGAGGCGATGGCTGGACCGTAGCCCGTTCCACACAGATTGCATGGAACGACTCTTTGAGCCTAGCACCGTCACGAGGACGGTGCACTCCGTCCCCTCCAGCGACGACCAACTGTCTCCTGGAGCCAGTATGGACGAGGTAGTGGGTAATAGACAGGTAGGCACCTTGTCAACATTCACATCAGGCGCATCCGCACAGGGGAACTCAAGCAACATCTACTTCTGAAATGCAAGATTACTCATCACGCAGGCAAACGTACCACATACGCCGCCTTATTGGCCTGGATTAGTAAATTGAATGGGAACATACTCATGGTGCTTCTATTCCGCATACAATTGTGCCTTCTCCGGCACCTGAGAAACCGCCCTTTTGAGCAGTTCACGGAATTCGCATCGATCAAATTTGCCTTGGATTCGCAACACCTGAAATCAACATGAGTTCGTCATAAACTCATCTTCTTCATGTTCTGGTAATAGTATTTTCGGTTTGCTCGAATGTCGTTCTACTGCACTAAGTTAACCGTACAAAAGCGGTATGAAGATCCTCGTGGAATTCATTCGGTATACATATATACATAGATTGCCGTCATCTGTATCCAATGGCAGTTCGAATGCAACATATGCACATGTGTTTCCACGGACTTCATTATTAACTGTCACAAAACTGGACAGAGACACATTAGTCCGCATGAACAAGCATGTATGAACAAACATGTATGGGTTTCATTTGGAGGTCAGGCTAAGGGTTACTTGCACAGACATGAGATTAAGTACCCAATACGTACTGTTGGTGTTCGCCTCTTACGGCTTATTTGGCACGACAACTACCATAGTACTACAACAACTAAGTCCCACTGGCCACTGTCAAACTTGCGGTTTTCCAAACAATGTTCGCCCGGTGTTGCAAATATCCGAGATGTAGCATGGTTGTCATCCAAGTACTCATCCGTTTATACATACCGTTGTGTATCCTGTTGTGGCTATAAACTACTTGGTTACGATCTACTTTAGTACGCCTGGGGTGCAACTATTCGGTGCTCGTAAAGTGAACAAATGTTCCCTATGCGCTGATTCCTTTCCGATGTAATTTACTAAGACACTTACGTACCATTTCCGTTGACATTACCTTTTTCTTAGTCTACCCAGAAGATTGACCCCGTCTAAGACAACTTCTAGTAGGTGCCTCTTAGACAGATGCAATAATGCTACTGCGTTGCACCAAGTCCCTACTTCATCATTCCAAATAGCAATTGCACCCAAGCTATACTGACATTAGCAATGGAATAAGGATGACACACAAGGATGATAGACCGTGTGAGTAGGCAACTATGAAGGTTTGTAGGGAAATGGTGCGCTGAAGTCAACTTATTTTCATAAGCTCAGCTAAGCTAAGGTTGTCAGATGAAGAACGGGAATTATTGCTCTAATCATTCTAACAGAGTTAATGTGAAACCTAGCATAACACATCAACAGCAGCATGCTAATCGCTAGTCAATTACTTACCGGGACTGTTCACTTTCCACGGATGTTCCAGAGCGATTGATATTTGAATGCATGATCCAAATTGAACATGTCTATCACATTGCCAATTTGCCACCAAATCGAGGAAGCATTGCTTTTCCATACTGTATTAGGTAAAGGGTTCCTAGGCTATGGTAATGGTAAGGTACGGTAAAATAAGGTAACATGTTATAAGTAAGTAAGTCAGTGTAGCCCAACTGCGATAAAGAAGTATGGTGTATGCAACATCAAACCTCAGCATAGGGGCATTCGTATAGAGGCATCTGTGTTCGGATTACCAGTATGGTAAATATAGTACGCGCCTGTGTCTTTGCAGAAACTATGCGTGGTTGTCATTGCACGGCAACAGTTGGTGAATTAGTACATTATCAGTGCAAAAATCCTCCCCGTGTGATTCCATTCTGACTCACCTCGCTTCATCCCGTTTGGCCGGTTTAACATGTACCGTCCTTTCTCAGTTGCGTACCACCAAGTGTCACATGTCAGTCCGTGATGCTCGATCTAACAATCCACCTGTTCGGCATAACCCCATCGTGGCCTCGTTGATGACTGGCCAGACCAGCTGGGCTAAAACACACACGGCCACATGCACTGCAGCTCCATGTTGGAGTAGCCGAAGAATTGAAGTCCGACGGCAGATGATGTTTGCGTGCTGCACGTTTAATTTCTCGATGCACCATCTGCCTTTCTTGCGATTGGGCAACGGTACAGGTGATGAGATCACGCCAGATGCGGCGATTTGTTGCCAACTCCTCCCAAATATTTAGGTCAATACCTAATCTGGACAAACTAACCTTGATATTATCTTGGTAACGCAACTTGGGTTTGCCAGCATTCCGGCCACCTGCGATCAGTTGTCCGTACAGCAATTGCTTCAGGATTCTCGTTGCATCCATACGGCGCACATGTCCAAGCCACCGGAGATGTCGCAGCAGTAGCATGTAGTCTATGGTGTACACTTCGCTCCGGCGGATCACATCAGTGTCTGGCACATTGTCCCACCATTGTATGCGCAGAATCCGGCGAAGGCACTGTTGATGGAATCGTTCCAAAAACCGAATATCCTTTCTGTACAGTGTCCAAGTTTCCGATCCATAGATAAGGACTGAGAGAACCATTGATTTGTACACCATCACCTTGGTTCTAACAGTGAGATGATGGTTCTTCCACACGCGATGTTCCAGTTTCCCAAAAGCCGCACTTGCCTTCGCCACACGAGCGCGCAGTTCGTTGGTGATTCGTAGGTCGCTAGACAATGTACTCCCAAGGTAGCAGAAGGCGGACGTGTTCTGTAGTACTACATCTACAATCCGTATTTCTGGTCCGCACACGGGCTGCACTCCCGGTGCCGGCTGAAATAGACATACAGTCTTGCCTGTGTTTATGCTGAGTCCAAACTTAGTCGCTGTGGAAGCTAAGATTGTCGTCATGCATTGCAGTTCTTCCTCAGTATGTGCAAATAACGCGCAGTCGTCTGCAAACAGTAGCATACGAATGGTTGTCTCACGCACTAAACTTCTTGATCCAAAGCGGCGGATGTTAAGCAAACCCCCATCCATGCGGTGCTCTAGATGAACACCGTATTCGCATGTGTTGAATGCGCACGACATCACAGCCGTCAGGTAGATATTGAACAGTGTGGGGGCTAAGACGCATCCTTGCTTCACACCGGAGATAACGGCCAAGTCATCTGTAGTCTGTCCACTTAGCTGCACCCTTGCTCGCATGCCAGTATGCAGGCATTCAATGAGACGAATAAACTTTGCAGGGCATCCAAACTTGGAGAGAATCAACCACAACGCCTCACGGTTCACCATATCGAACGCTTTGGTGAAGTCGATGAACAATGAATACAACGGTTGATTGCATTCACGACATTTTTCCTGTAGTTGACGTGCTGCAAAAACCATGTCGATGGTGCTACGGCCCGAGCGGAATCCACATTGCTCCTCAGGTACATTCGGTTCTAGTATATGTGTGACAAGGCGATTGAGTAGGATACGGGCAAAAATCTTGCCAACGCAACTAAGTAAGTTGATGTCACGATAATTGTCGGTGTGTTGTTTACTACCCTTTCCCTTGTACAGTGGAATCACAAGAGCATCCTTCAACTCTGCGGGCACTTGCTCTTCCATCCAGACGGCTTCCACCAAACGATGCAGGCCACGTATCATAACTGGTCCTCCGTTCTTCAATATTTCCGGTGGTATGCCATCAACACCAGCGCATTTCCCATTCCGTAGTTGAGCAAGCGCTCTCTGTGTTTCGTACATTCCCGGTGTCTCCTCCAGTTGCGATAGTACGCTATGGTGTTGCAGCCCGTGTAGTGTGTCCCAGTCTACCTCTGATCGATTGTTCAGGAGCGTATCAAAGTGTCTGTGCCACATTTGCAAGATGTCATCAGATTGTGTATACACGGCGCCAGTCTCAGAGTCTTTCAGGGTCTTCATTTGCTGCACAGTGGGCCCGTACACTGCCTTCAAGGAGTCGTAGAATTCTTTTTGTTGACGGTGTTCAGCGTAGG